TATAAATGTTTTATAGTTATATTCCATCATAAATATAATTGGTCTATAAATACTAGTTTAGAACTGGTTCCACTATTAAACTCGCAGTTGCTTGTAAAAAATTTTAAAAAAAAAGCGCGCGACCGCCCGCTCATTCGTGAAAAAGCTGAAAATTCCCACAACACAGTTCCTGAAACGATCAAATTTTGTTTTGTTTTGATAGTTAGTTAGCTGACTCTGTGACACGCCTTTTATTTGAGGAGTTGTTTTGATATCCCAAAAACTTCCAGTGTACATGTTTGATGACTTCTCTCCGGTGGTCCAGACTTTGTGGGTATTGCCGCATCCGGATTCAGATCCAAACTGCATAGTCTGGCCGAGATTTTGAGTCTGGATTTGAGTTGTGCCGTGGTTCGCGAAGGTCTCGACATGGCTCGCAAAAGTGCATACTTACGCGACCCATGTCTAGACTTTCGCGACCCATGTCCGGGGCTTCCAGACCTTATGTCCAGACTTTCCAAAATCAAACCCCAGACGCGACTACGCATTTTGGGTCTGAATCCGGATACGGAGCGAACCACGGCGCGCGCGATTTTATGTTCAGAACTTTCAGACTCAGACTCTTGTTGTGACTATACAATTTTGGTCTTTAGTTATGCAATTTGCGGTCGTTTTCTGTAATGCGTTTAGTGTGGCTCCTTTTAGAGCAATGGTTTCTCCTTATTGGTGTTCCAGGACATTCTTTTGACTGTCGTGCTTGCAACTGTTAAAGAAAAGCCTTAGCGATTGAAGTTAATGCTACCTTCATCTTTTCTGATAGCATCACGGTGCTGCAATGGCCCAACAGTAAAAGCAAAATTTCGCCTTTCATGCCAAACGATTGACAGAAAGTATCAATTTGATCACAGTTGATAGGTGACCGCATGTACTTTGTGACAATTAACCTGCGAAAATCACAACCCGCAGCGTTTTAGCAAAAAAACTTGATGAATAAAATTGGATGTCCGAGCATTGTTTCCCTTTTACAAATACTGAGCCTTCAAAACCGTTCTAAGCTTCCTACGCACGTCCACAACAAACTTCACCTTCAGATAACTGTGATCACAATGATGAATACCTTGTTTTTTGATGATGTTTAACGCACTCCTTCAAAACCGTTATTGGCTTGGAATGACTTTAGTTCCTTCAGCTATATATAACTCGTTCTTGCGTAAGGGTGACGTTTGCCAGGGAGTCAAAACCAATTCTATTGCCCACATGCAGCAAAAAGGAAATTGGCTGGATAACGGTTGCACTGCTTATTTTATAAAAGCTTACACAAACTCTTAAGGATGTTCGTTCGTAAGTTCAACATGAAAAACGTCTCCAAAAATAATTGCAATTCTTCAGTAACTCTATTACTGCTTTTTATTTCCAAGGTGCTTTTGATACTGGAAACCTGAAACTGATAGCGTAATATGCCGTCCACGGAAATTGTTTTCCCCTATATACACTATATATTCGAGTTCGAGACTGCCCTAATCCTGCTTATTTAGTTTTTTGTGTAGTGAAAAAAGACTTCTCCCATAAACGTTTCTTCGCATTGTAATCTTTGGAATTGACTGTCTTTAAAAACCTTGACCACCAGTTTTTCTTACTATTTCGGACGGCTGAAAGTAGTTGGCAGTTAAATTGAGTTGATATTAAGTGTTGATTGAAAGGTAAATAATCATTTGAATTGTTCAACATACGTTCTTGCTATTGTTCCGAATAGTTTTTTGTATAAAAAAAAAAACAATTCGATTCAATTTAAACAGAATTGCGTTCTCTTTGCTGCTTCAACAGTTTAGTCTTATCTGACGGAAATAACGTCAGCTATACAAAATTAAAATTGTCAAAATCATCATTTGCAAAAACAAGTCAAACTGATTTTTCTAATATACTTAATTGCTTAAGTTAGAAGAAATGTTTTATGTCGTCAGATAAGCTTCGCAGCCAAATGACAAAAAATGATAAAATCGATTGTATTAAAAAATCTACAGAGTAACGTAAGTATAGAATCGACTTATCCACAACCATTTTGCGAATGATAATCGATTCTAAACAGATAAAACCTATTTTTTCTACCAATAGCGAAAGGATTTTGATGCCGAAATAAGCAATTTTTCTACCCTATAAAACCTTTATAATCTGTAGATAATCTGCATACAGTCAGTATCAAACCTGTATGAAGTTTATAGAGTCAGTAATTGATCTTTAGTCAAAAAAACCTGTATATCAAGTCGTTAACCTGTAGATAATCCGTGGATAATCTGAAGATAATCTGCAGGCAACTTGAATCTTATCTGTATAAAATCTGTAATAAATTGAAATTTTTGCCTAAAAACTATAGGAGTCCTAACAACATCAACTTTGACAAATCAAAATTTAAACGGATGATTTTTTCACAAATTTAAAAAAATTTAGAAAGAGAAAAAATTTTCCTCACTTTTATAGTGAGGTGAAATCTCCTCAGGAAAAATTTTGACCGCAAACTACAAGTTTTAAGAGATCCCTCCAAGGTTTTAAGACATAAAGGTTTCCACAGCAAGAAAAAAAAGATTGTTTTTTGCAATACTTCCTTAAATGCCATTTATAAAATCAATCTTTCCGCGAAACTTTGTATAAAAATACTAAATAAACAACTGAAAACATTAACATGCAATTAGCGACTGCTGCAATTTCTTTCCAGAAAACTGATTTTATTTTTTTCCCGATCAAACATCTGTAAAAACAATTCACTGAGAAGCCTAAATTATACCAATATACTACTCATGTCATCTGATTGGCAAACATGTTGAGAAAACTAGTATTAAATCTGTATATACTATGTTTCAAGAGTGTACAAACTCTGTGTATATAGCCAGTAAACAATCTGTAGATAATGTGTATATAATCTATGTACGATCTTATTTAATCAAGATATACAGTTTGAAACTTTTGCAAAACAAAATTACAACAGATCTGAAATCTAAATTTTTTTCTGTGGAAAATTGATTTTTATTTACTTTTGTGTTTGCGGGGCGGACAAAAAGAAGCAGACAAACCACAATTTGACAGTTAAACAAAAAATGAGCTTCATAACGGATGCATCGCTGAATTTAAGATAGCTTTTATTCACTCCTTCGTGACGAGTCCTCATTAAAATGTTCGTGGGATGGTGACATAACAAACAAGGAAAACACATCAAATTGATTTTATAAATAGCTGTTTATTTTAGAGGAAAACTCCATACTGTCGAAAAAATAGGAAGAAAAAACTACAGTCCGATAATTAAATTTTTCACTTTTTTCAAAAATTAGCGTTTTTCAGCCTTTGAGGTCACACTGTCTCACCACAAGCATTAGCAAAATTAATAGCTGGAACTTGATACGCTGAGAAAGTTAGCTGATGATTTGCTCATCAACAATTGTCAACAGCAAACGTTCTATTACTCGGTTGCAATATCTTCACGCATCGGTAAAACTAAGATTGCAATCAAATATCAATTATTGCAAGTTCAAAAGACTTAAGTCAAACAGGTGTTTTCTAAACACTCCATAATCGATTTTATCAAATCGATTGAAATTGCTCGAATTTTTTTCTTGGGTGTTTCGATTCTTTATTTACAAAAATAACTTTTTTCCAGTTAATTGCTTTTCTTGGGTTGTTTTCTTGGGTTTTTCGATTCCTTATTTACAAAATTAACTTTTTTCCAGTTAACTGCTTTTCTTGGGTTTTTTTCTTGGGTTTTTCGATTACTTATTTACAAAAATAACTTTTTTCCAGTTAACTGCTTTTCTTGGGTTTTTTTCTTGGGTTTTTCGATTACTTATTTACAAAAATAACTTTTTTCCAGTTAACTGCTTTTCTTGGGTTTTTTTCTTGGGTTTTTCGATTACTTATTTACAAAAATAACTTTTTTCCAGTTAACTGCTTTTCTTGGGTTTTTTTCTTGGGTTTTTCGATTACTTATTTACAAAAATAACTTTTTTCCAGTTAACTGCTTTTCTTGGGTTTTTTCTTGGGTTTTTCGATTACTTATTTACAAAAATATCTTTTTTCCAGTTAACTGCTTTTCTTGGGTTTTTTTCTTGGGTTTTTCGATTCCTTATTTCCTTATTTACAAAAATAACTTTTTTCCAGTTAACTTCCCTTTTCATTTCAGGAATTCGACCCTCTGCCGACTCAATTTTCATTTTTGGTGAAGGATCCAAAACAATTTCTAAAGGCGCCTTTGGCACCAATATATACTAACTTTGAGGGGGAGCGCGCACTGAAAAAAAAACGCGACTTTTTGGTCAAAATTTCCCAAAGTTGCCTAAAAACGCCTTTTTTTGTCTGTTTTTTTTTCAAAATTTTGCCTGCGGCGCAAACAATTGCGTCAAAAATGGGGTCTTCATGGTGATTTAGGAGAGCTTTTGAGTCGACCTAAAAAAGGTCGACAAAATTTTCGAACTTTTTAAATATCCTTCCCCTCGAGAAAATCCTAGATCACTGCTAGAAAACCCAAAATTTATTGTTCAAATTGTTTAGAAAGTTTGAGAAGAACTCAAGCATTCGGAAGCTAGCAAAAAAATGAAATCAACAAAAACTTCACAGAAAATTGCATATATGAGATCAGTGATTCTGATCTCTCGCGGTTGAGAAAAAAATTTACCATAAAAATAAAACAAAATAAATCAAAAATTACTGAAAACTCAAACACGACCCCGGACATTTAAAAAATTTTCAAAAGGCAAAAATTGATAAAAACTTGCTGGCAAGGCGGAAAAAATGGAAAAAATGGATAATTAGCCATTTTCAATAAAAGTAAAATCATAGTATCCTAAGTTTTTGGTCTTCCCAATTGTTTGAGATCGAAATAGATCCTCTGGATTATAGAAGCGCAAGGGTGAAGAAACTTTGATTCTGAAAACGAGCGCAGAAAACGATAAGATTCATGCAAATAGTATTTCGGGAAAAAAGGTTGAAAACATTTTAAAACAATTGACTGAATGATTAAAAGAGTAATCATCACTTATCTGTATTGGAGGCACTGAAGGCCGCCTGCGTCTCCCGCGTCGGGCAGTTGGAAGTGCTGACATTCGTAAGTTTCCATACTTCCTCCAACAATGACAATAAAACTCGCCACTAAGCAACAAAACAAGAAAAGCTCATTGCTGGGCAAATTTTTTCAAAGTGAAAATAAAAAATAGCCCGCATAAAATCCTTTTAAAATACAACAATGAACGAACTTTATATGTGACTTTAATATTGCGCCACATATGAGCCCGATCAAGATATTCCTGAGATACCTAAACCTGATAAATCAGACAAAAACAGAACCCCACGCCATAGTTTCTCCTGTCACACATTGTCGGATCGGCCAGAACAGAAATAACTGCATGAACTCAAACCATAACATTAATCGTATTTTCACGTTTGGGATACAAGTATCTATTCTTTAATGAAATTTTGCGATTTTTGTTTTCTTACTTTCAAAAGAGAAATAAACCACATCGTACCTTCCGCGTGGTAAAATGTACCTACACTCATTGGGCTTTCAAGAATAGTAATTGAAACATAGTGATTAGAATTACATTTTCAGACCGTGCATTCGGTTATAGATCATTCAATAAGTTTTCAATTTAAAATATAAATCAATTATAAGCCATTCAAATCCATTGTAATGGTTTATACTGGTTTATAATCTGTATAAATTTGGTGTGCGTGAGTAAATTGATGTATCAGTAAACTATGCTAATGTTATTAAAAACTAATTAAGTAACGGTTGCGTAATAATAATTATTTTAAAAGCTTAACAAATGCATCTATTTTTTGAACTGAAAGACTTTTCTCGGTAATTAACTGCAAAAGTTCAATTACTTAAGTTTATAGTTTTTTACACCATTGTTTCGCATAATTTTTGGCATGTTTCGTGGTCAGCTAAAAATAAACGTTATTAGGTTGAACACGTTGTTACTTTGAAAAATACAATTTCGGTTTAAGAAACACTTTTTTCACAACTTCCGGTTTACTGATCAGGTATATTCAATTTTAGTTTACTGATCTGGTTTGGCTGTTTTCGAGTTACCGATACATCGGTTTACTGACATACCACCATAAATTTGTTGCAAATTGTTTGTAATATTTGCAGCTTTTTCTAGGCCTATTCGAGTTCTAAACGTATTCACATTACATAAACTTTGCTAAACAATTTCCCCCACAGTCTTTAGACTTTTTTCGCATTATCACCAATATTTATTCAGAAAAAAAAAGATCAAAAGGAATTTAAACGAAAGCAAGGTATTTTTCTCGGCGTGGTGTGATGAAAGGAGCTGATAAAAAACTGGAGATAAGGTATATTCGACAGTCACACTAAAATAAGCAAATTAAAAAACTTCTTTTGTAGAAAAAATTAGTAGAAAAAATTAGTAGTAAGAAATAAAGAAATTTTGCAGTTTTTAAAATTTTTTGAATTTTTGATTCTAAAAAGGCATTGAAAGACTCAAAATAAATTAACGTTAACCAAATAAAATTAAATACTTACGTTTGAATTAAGCGTTTAGTTAAGCAATAATATAACTGCTCGCTTGCTTTATTAGCTCGAAATAAGACAAAAAACCAAAAAATCAAAAATTTCAAACCGGTTTTTCTCGACACTAGAATCAGTTTTTGAAGCTTTTCAAATGTGGTTTGAATCACAACTGAAAGGGCTTTCATTCGATATATTATTCAACCCAGTTTGATCATTATTTGTGGTACCTGATTTTGCGTGGAAAACAAAAAAAAACGAATGCAAAGTTGCTCACCATTTTCAATGGTCGGAACAAAAAGATTTTTTTTCCAAATCCCGGCAAATAAATTAAATCCCAAATGAACTAACCCGAAGTCAACAGTTTGGTTACGCATATCTTTGCATGGGGATAATCCAGGATTACTTAGAAAATAATTAAAGAGATGTATTTCCTGAAATAATTAATGAAGCTTTTAGTTCAGAAAAAAATATTACGTTACAATTTTAATCATTTATATTTGATTGGTTTTGCAAATTTTGAGATTGAAAATGAAATTTTTCATGAGCAATTGTCATTCATAGAACCTAAATTCGCGTACTTTAAAATTGCGAAAAAATGAACCATTTCAGTATTTATTGAAAAACAGTCACTATTCTTATTTCTTCGAAAGTATATAACTTTCAACCCCAAAATTTTGTGATAAGTTAGAGAGATTTTGGAACATATTGTCATTCGTTTTATTATGGTCAGTCTTGCTTTGATATAAGTTAGCGCGCTGCTTATGAAACTGTGTCGAAAATTTTATGCAAATGTATTTATGTTTTTTCGTTTTCACGAACCCAGCTTCATATAAAAATACATTTCGCAAATACATGGTTTTTAATGTCGTTTTATTTCAATGTTTGTGTGACCAGAATTTTCAGATATCATCAGAAATTCATCAACAAACTTTACCTGAAAAATAAAAAAGGATTTGAAAAAATTGCAATGATCATGTCTATTCGGTTGATTCAGAGTAATCGGGGCTAGATGTTGGTCTTTTACAATTCTTTCAAAAATTAAGTTTTTACATTTTATTCAATCATCGAAACTTTTTTTATCAATTTTTATGATAACATTGTAATCAGAAATTAACAAAATCAATACATTAAAATTTGGTCTTCATTTAATTTCTGTTTTCCTCCAAAGACGATCCTGTGTTTTTTACTCAGGGGTGAAGCTTAAATTCACATCACTTGCTTTGCAACACGACCATAGCATAGCAGCTAATCCAAAAAAAGCAAAAACTACTTAGTTAGAAAACTAAAAAACAGCCCAGAAAGTTTCACCTAAAAACAAGTTTCTTACGTTTGTCTCAAATTAATTTAATATTGATAAAAATCACTGAGCAAAGTTTCGAAATTTCGAAAATTTCATATGAAACGGCCAAAAATGATCAACAACTTATATAGCACGTAAGCTGACAAAACCTAAGTTCACACAATGAGATAAAAAGAATTTTAAAATTCTGGCCGGGCTAAAAATGCACATTACAAAATGATTAATATGACGCCTACAGAGTAAGATTGGACTAGCGATATTTTAGTTTTTCATGATGATATTACTTGATTGATCGAACCAACTCGAATTTAAGGCAGTCTGTGAACAAGAAGGTTTAAGGGAGAAAAGTTCTAGTACCCGTTTCCAACATCCTTGCATGTTGCGTGGGTAAAATCGGGACTCTTTTACCCAAGCAAGCGAAGCAGAACATACTTTTTACAACCACATTATAAACATATCAATTAAATTGTTATGCAGATCCAAGGAGAAGCTTTGATGATCTAGAAGGTTGAGAATTAATTTGAAAATCTTTTGGTTGCTAAAGTTAGTTTTTTGATTCTTAAGTTTACAAATAGGTTGTTTTTCCGAGAGCGTTCACTATTTTTTTTTGATTTGGTTTTAAAGAAAATTGATTCTAACTGATTACTTGTTTTGAAGCACGATGCAATGGCAATGTTCATAGTGTGTCTTTAGTAAGGCTTTTTTCGCAAATAATATTTCGAGTCTGTCGAAGATAAAAATGAAAGTTTTGAATGATCGCTGATTAATTTGCATGCTAATGAGTCGAGGAAAGTTTGTCTCCAGTTCATTGAACGCTGCAACTCGGAAAAATGTCGGTTTCACTTGTCGTGGACCGGAAAATGGGTATTCTATTGTGTTAATGACACGAGAAAGTACTGGTGAGAACTAGTTTTTCTGCATAGATTTTTTGAACCGCATTGCCCAAATGTGAAAATACTGTACAGTTTTCTGCGTTAGCTTTTTTATGATGAGCAGCATCAAGATGATTTTTATTTCTTTTTTGAGAAATTGGTATGTTAGAGTTTCGTGTCGGAATTAATGAGACATAGGATTTCAAGTCTGTTTTAGTAATCTAACTTAATTTCAGCATTTAAGATCCTAAGTTTCAGCCTTACTGATTGTACCAGATGGATTGATCTGAGGTTTAGGTTAACTTAAAGAGTAATTTCGGTTCAGATTAGGTACATCGTCTGATTTTCACGTTCTTGTTTTTGGCCGGATAGTTTCGGGGAGCTCCTTAGTCTAATACCGATCTTAATTTTACTCTGTTTTTCTAGATATCAAAAGATTCTACTTAAGTGTTGGTTAAAAGCAGTTTTACTTGGATAATAACTTTATTATATTTGATAGGAAAGTGGTATGACTGAAAAAAGTCCGGGTATACAATTTTGAGTATGAAAAATAGTTACGGAACAAGATTGGTGTGTAATAAAAACTCTGCAATTGTATTCAATACAAAATATATCCAGCTTAAATTAGAAATGAAACACCGAATGGGTCGCAATTTACATTATCGTATGTTTCTCGACCAAAAATTGGTAGGTTACAAATAACTCGATAGCGTCTGAGTTTTGTTGACTCACACTGCAAAATGTGGGGTAAAAAATATTATACATTTCTTCGCTCGACTCAGCTCAGATCAAAATTTAGATCGGCTGTTTAGTTCAAACAGGTTTGATCAAAATTGTTATTGTTTCTAATTTTTCAAAATGTTCCTGTTACTTAATTGCAACCTCTTTCAAGACTCTTTTTCCATTTACCCCCAACTCTAATTGAGCATCAATTTTATGGTGTAACGAGCGTTTTTTTAGTTAAACTTCTAACGACTTTTATCGACTGCTAAAACGATTTTTTAAATTTTCACATAATCCAATGGCTACAAAGAGAACAAGACTGCTTGTATCAGGGTGAAGCCCTGAATGTTCCGACTGCTTTTTATGGTCTACAGAGCAGTAGTAGCATGAAAAAACGAAACGTACTAAAAATAAAACTAAAACTTTTTTCTAAAAAAAAAATCAGATTTTTTATCAAAAATCATCCCCCACTGGGTAAAAATTTCGATTAAAATAGAAATAAAAAAAGTGATAAATTTTGATCCAAGTAACAAATCAATTATTGTTCCGTCTTTCGAAACGAAAGTAACGGATAATTTGTGCTCGGGTGGGTTTTTTTTGTTCGGACCAACTTCGACTTATTAACTAGCCATTTTTGACGAAATTTTTTAAATCAATCAAAAGCTATTGTTGTCCTGAGCTTAAATTTCAGAATATATTTCACTTGTGATCATTTTTTGTAAAGTTACGGGGGTTTAAAGGTTGCCATTTTGGCCAATTTGAGACAATTAACGAGCGATATTTATGGCACGCTAGTAACGCGTACAGGACACTTACTCCGTATTAGAGATCGTTCCAAATGGATTCAAGGAAGCTTATATGTCATAATTAGTTTGTTAATAAGAGCAAAATCTACCACTTTGTACTTAATATGGCTTTAATTTTATTTTATTGTTCCGATTTTCGATACGAAAGTAACGGAATATTTGTGCTCGGGGTGGGTTTTTTTTTCTTCAGACAAATTTCGACTTCTTAACTAGCCATTTTTGATTTAATTTTCTAAATTTTTTTTTTCTCAATTTGCTTTATTACATTTAAATTTTTCATGTTTTTGCTGCTTCATAGACCTTAAAAGGCAGTCGGAACATTCAGGGCTTTGTCCTGATACGAGCAGTCTTGTTGCAATTAAGTTTCCTTCAAACAATTTGGAACGATTTCTTAGACGGAATAAATTTTCGCGCGAAATATATTGTGCGTTAATTGTCCCAAGTTGGCCAAAATGGCAGTCTTTAAACCCCCGTAACTTTACGAAAAATGATCACAGGTGAAATTTATTTTCAAATTTAAGCTCAAAACAGCAAAAGCTTTCGAATGATGTAAAAAAAATTGGTCAAAAAGGCTAGTTAAAAAGTCGAAATAGAAAAAAAACACCTCGAGCACAAATATTCCGTTACTTTCGTTACGAAAGTCGGAACAAAAAACATCAGCAGCTCAGATGCAAGATCGAAGAAAAACTTAACAAATAAAAAGGATCATGATATATTATATTCGATACAAATAGAAATGATTATATTCGATTAAAATAGAAATTGTATAACAGTTAAAATAGAACATGCAATGAAAAAATCGATTGAAAATTATTTTAATCAAATAAAATAATTAAAAATGATTATAGTTTGATTTGAAAAAGGAAGGCTGTAATCGATTATTAATAGCCTGTAAACGGTTTTCTCAATTTTTTTCTCAATTTACTAGAAAGACTAGTATTAAAATTGTAATATAAATGATTCTTAGTTATGTCGCAAAAGCCGCAAAGAGTGGAGTTATCAAAAACATGCTTGAAAAGTTCAGCAAATGGAGCTGCTATATGATACGATTTTTATCTGCGGATTCGACAGGAGAAAAAATCTAATAAAATTTCCCTGTTGCGGGCACGACGAAGCGATTTTCCGTCTTTTGAAGAAATTGTTTAGAGATCGCAAAACGTCCAAATTGGTTTCGGAATAATGGCAGTCGATTAATCAACAAAAAAATTTTCCGTTAAAGGACTTAAATCTTGAGAAAAAGACTCACCAGAAAAAACTACGAACACGAAAATGGGCAGCATAGTCGGCCAGCGAATAAGTAACGTAAGGTGTTCTGAAATGATTTAGATTGAACTGTTAGTGGCAAATGAATTCATACCACATCATCATCCAACACTTTGTTTATTTTAATTGCTAACATTTGCATTTGACCTAATACAGATTTAATATATTTTGAATAATCTTTGCTGTTTCTGTCAGCTCTCTGTGAATACTTTTAATAGAACCTAGCACCGATAATACTGAGCGCTTTTGCTTTTGTCGAATGTTGGCTTTCGCGCTTAAACATTCCAGAGCAAAAGTTTAACTTCAACACAGAGGCTATGTGGAGCTTCGCACCATTTGCCATAGCGTGCAACAGTAACAAGGCAAAGTAGCAAATAGAAAAAGAGAGAAATCACTAAGTCGACAAAACAATTTGCGAAACAATTTATTGATTTTCTTGGACAAAAACAATCCTTCAATATCAAAAAAAGTCAGCCAGCAGCATTAGCTCTGCTTTTCGTATCAGTTACCGAGCAGCTACTTAGCCAAAAATAATGAAACAAAAAATCTCTAAATTTTTTTTCAAAAACGTTTTAAAACTTGAAGTCTCTAAACCACAACCGTTCTGAATTAAACCAAAAACAATTTTAATTTTTTCCTTTAAATAGAACGACACAAAATAAAATTACCGAGCTGATAAAACTAGCCAATAACGATATAACTGACAAAAAACTTAATCAAAACCTAAGTTGGTAATTTGACGAAAGAAAAACACGACTGTTAATTAAGGTGAAAATTGCTCACATTAGAAAAAACTACATGCTTTGGAAATTCAGCCAACATAAAATCAACAAACGAAAAAAATTTCGACAATTCTTTCCCAGACAATCCCAGAAAACATCATTCTGATACGTGCTGATAAAAAAAATAGATCCAAACCCAGACTCAAACCCAGACCGTAGGGTAAAAGGTCAACCAATTTACCGCTAGACCACTTTGGAATCTATCTTTTTGAGGTCAAATAATAAATCTAAATTATTAGAGACAGGAGTTGTTTACAGAAAAATTGGTCCACGATGAAAAAAGCGGGGTTTCCGATTAAAAGACAAGAGTAAAAACTAAAGCAAGTGTAATTAACTTCGGATGATTTATCGCTTACTACAAAATAGTTATTCTACCCTTTTTCAGATAAGAAACTTATAAAATTCAAATCAATATATAACTAATAATGAATGCAGTCAGACAATCAGAGAGCAACAACTGCGTCGTTTTCAGCTTTCAAGTATTAAATTGAGCGAATTCTTTCTTCGAGTATTTGTAATTTTGCATGTAAATAATTGAAATCAAGGCTTAAATTTTGAGATCTGATGAGTTGGTTTCAGGGCATTTTTCGGCCAAACAATAACAACTTGCCAAAATTTGGCTCTTTTCCAGTTCCCCTTTTGATTTTTTCTGAGCTTCAATGTATGGAAATTCATATAAAATCGATTTTCATGACATGAACTGCATCAAAACGAGTCAGTGTGAGCAGATGAACGAATTCTTACAACATTTCTTACATAAAAAACGCCTTCTGAACAAATTTTGAAGAGCTTCACTTTGTAATTTTACGAGAGAGGGGTGCGGAAAACTGGAAGAAAGCCCAAAAAGTTACTCTAGGTGACGGAGAATTTTTGTAACCAGCTTATAGAATTGGAACTTTTGAACAAACACTGGTCATTGGAAAGCCAAATTTCTACCTAAAAAGTATCGCATGAACTTTCAAACTTTTATCAAAATCAAGAGGATCAAAAAAAAATTAGCTAAGAAGATAAGTATGCTAACAGAACTTTAGTAGGCAGGTTTATGAACTGACGGGAAAATTTTCTCTTCAAGTTCAAAACTTATAGAGTCAAATCTTCTTTTTCCAAAAAATTTTAATTATGTGTCTAGTTAAAATCCTTCCTTGCCAAATAACAGTTTCTGACAACCTTTGATCGAATGGCCAAAAAAGGTTCCAAACATTGACACAGAGGCGAAGCTTCGCTTGGCAAACAATAGCGAGACCACGACAAAAAGCAGCTCTATAAAGAGCAATAAAAAAAATTTAAAAATAAGCCTCGAATAAAAAAAACTGCTACGTCTGAGATTCTAACCTGCGACCTAGAGATTAGGATTCTTACACACTAATCACTCATGCGGTTTTTGCTTGCAATTTAAAAGAAGTAAAAGTCAAGCGGAAGCACACAAAAGCTTCACAAAATGAGCAGATCTGAAAGAAAATTGTTTTCATTTGACAAAAATAAAAAATAGCCAACAACTATGAAACACAATAGGGCATCATAGTGGGTGAAAACAAAATTGCTTTCATTTCATTTGCAATAATTGCTATTCAAACTTGCATGAATTTAACTCAAATCGAGATCTGGGTTAAATTTGATCAAAGAAAATGATTGAATGTTTATGCTTGGGAACTTTTTTATTCAAACAAACTTCGACTTTTTGGTTAAGCATTTTGGTTCAGACACTGATGCCTTGTGGTGAACTTTTCATTAATTTTTTGGTGATATATATATATATCAACCGAAGTATCAACGAGACGAAGATACGTTAGTTTTATATAACAGCTATGTAACTATTAAGTAACAGTAACAAAAGTTATGCAAATTCATTCATATGATATAATTTTTCGGCTCGCCTATAAACTTCGTGCAATTTCGGTTGGTTTATACTTAGGCTGGTTAACTTACTCTCATTTTTTGGATTTTTTGTTGTGAAGTTTGTTTGAAGTTGCCAATTTAGGCTGATAACAGCGCCCGAAACTCTTTACTGTTACCGCAAAGTTATAGCGGCGAATGAATCGAGTTGGAATATCATTCCTAATTGAATTGATTTACGCTACGGTTCCAAATAAATATATTAGTAGATGCGAACAAACTTGTTTCGTGCTTCATATTGGACGAAGGGTCAACCTTTTGTGTTTTTTTTTTCCGTTTTGAATTGTTGTCCTCAGCTTACTTCAGACATTTTTAAGAACAATCTGGAAACTTCTGAAAATGATTTAAAAGAAACAGTAATCTCGAATTTCACATGTTCTGCAAGGAGGTTTTTTTCTAGTAAAATAATCCGAGAAAAAAAGAAATGTATCTTGGGCAAAAAAATACATATTTAAAAAAAATTCTGTTGACAGTTTTTAAATCAAAAACATAATCAACTGATATTGTTTGCAACTTTGGCCGTTTGTATATTTATCGAAAATTAATAACTAATCGAAACTCTTTACTGTTACCGAGAATTAATAGTGGCGATGAATCGAGTTGGAATATCATTCCTAATTGACTTGATTTACCCTAATGTTCCAAATAAATATATATTAGTAAATCAAATAAATCAAATAATTAGCAAAATTGTTTGAATAACCCTATATCGCAGACGTGGAACTAAGACTTTTACTTTTTACTTCTTTTTATGAGATAAAAATTTGACCTCCTTTTTTTACGAGGCCAAACAACTGTTTTTAAAGCAATCTTAAACACCTTCCATGTTTTGTTTATGGTGAGTTTCAAAGTGTTTTCTAATTTGAAAATTGTCTCCTCTTAATTAAAGTATTTGTTCCATTTCGACGGAATAGAAGGTTGATTTAAATCATTTGGACAAAACAAATGAAAAAATGTAAGATTTTTTTTCGAACTTGAATTAGAAAAAAAACGTGCGCAATTTTTTTTAGTATTTTAGTTAAAAAATATTATGGTTCCTTTCAATTTGCAATCCTTAGAATTAAGACTTCACACAGTAACGGATCATTTTGTTTTATTTTAAGCAAAAATTGATCATAAGGGAATTGTTTTCATTTGATAGCCAAAATTTGTCAATTTTAATAACTTTACATACCTATATATTACTTCAAAACATTTTAAGCATTTTGCTTAAACAAATTTTTGAAAGTTACACCCTATCACAATTTCGTTCAACTACATCAGAAGTTCATTTCTGCAGCTTTGACAGCTGTCATAATTTTGATAACAGCTGAGCCGGTAGTTTTGTCGCAGTTTTTGATTGACTTAAAAACTGAAAAATATTCATTTTCGAGTAAAAATTTCGGCCATAATTTGGCAAGTTAAGTTGCACTGCACCATAACACTTCTACTGAAGCCCTAAGCAGTTTTTTGTTGTTTTTTGATGGTTTCATTGAAGTATTTTTTGTCTAAGTAAATCAGTTTTGAGAAAACCGCGATTGGAGAAAAATTTCAAGAAAACATTTTTTTTTTCGTTTTGTTCGGATAATTTAAAACGGTGTCCTACAACTTCAAGACATACAATTTAACACCGTTCATTTTAAAACTTAGTCATTTAACTACAAAACAGTTTAAATCGACAACAATATAACTCCTATTTTCCAGTTTAACACAGTACATTTTAACACCTAGTCATTTCACTATTAAAAATAATACTGTATGAATTCTTTATCTTAACTCTATCACACCAAAGTTAATCCTGCAACTAACGCACGCACCATAATGAAAAATTTGGTTTCCTTTAGTTATACATGCTAAAAGGATGCGTTCTTAAATTACTAATTTTAGTCAGCTTTTTTTGAAAAGACGTTTCCTTGCAGACTCCCGGAAACGTAACTAAACGCAAAAACTTGACTCTTGCCTTAGCAATTTAATCCCAGGACAATTGCCATTATTTTCGGGATGCTAGTTTGAGACTACGGGCTGGCAAACCCTTTAGTTTTGCGTTTATGTGCCAACAGTTCAAAAAAAGCTGAAAAAGCGATCAGGTCATAAGTTTAAGTTCCAGAATGATTCTAAAAAAAAAAGATTTTTAGGCTTTTGGCATTAGTTAAACCTTATTTAAATTCTATACCGGCTGAAAATGTCTAGAAAATTATGCCATATTAGTCAAAGGACGTCTAATTATTTGCGGGCTTTTGAAGTTGTTTTTGGGTTATCGGAGCAAAAACAAACCTCAGCAAGCAAAAACAAGCAAATTGAGTGAGGCGGAGATGCAATTGCAATGTCAATCCATTCTAGACCATTACATCAAACTCGCTGTCTTTTTCGACCCGTCTTCTAGCAAATCGGTCACCATATAAGCTGCCGTTGCGAATTTGCGGGCTTCCACTGCGGCTCTATGACTATATTTATTGAATTATTGAAAAACGAGCAGTGGTACGAGAAAATACCCGCATTCTTTCCTTCCTCCGCCTGCGAAGTTTTACAAGTAATTTTTTGGTCAACTAATTAGGCTATGGCAATTATATTCAGTCTTCATGGTTAACCTAATATAATTCCTCGTTACACCATATAATTGATGCTTCTTTAAGGTGCGGGGGCTCTTTTCCACCCCCATCCCCCTTTTTCAAATTTTCATTTTTCTTAGTTGTCTTACATGTTATTATGGCTGAATGCGTGCTGTTACCCTGAAAGGTATGAAGGAAAAATCAGTTCACAGTTTGTTCACCATTCATAATTTCATTGCATTACGACAACTTTAAAATAGTTTTCTAAAATTGAATTTCAAATGTGCAGGGAAAGAGGAAAAGAGCCGTGCGGGGGCAAGGGAAAAAAGCCAAATTCCCTCATGAGCCAAACTTTCGAAAACTCCATTTTTTACAAGAATGAATTTTTGAATCATTTATGATTTAATTCAAGTATGAAATTAAAATTCAGCACGTGGTTTCGAAAGATAGTAACTGATTTCAATATTTATATTTTTTAACCAAAACAACTACAAAAATTCTGATTGACAATTTTGTTTTTCAAGCTCCATCTGCTTAAACAGTACTTGATTTCAATTTGCTACATTTTTACGCGAAATTAAGTCAGTTGCTTGGCATAATATAGAAATCAGAAGCATGCTGCGCATAAAACTGCACTATTATTGGATAGATTTCTAATTTTGATTTCTAGAAAGCAATTTAAGAAAATTTACTCAGTCAGCAACTCGAATAAATGGATTTTCCGCACCTTTTGAGTAGATAATAATGAGTTCCAGAGTATTTAAAACGCGGGTAATTTTTTGATATAAAAGAAGCTTTCAGCCATCGCTTTTTATGTTTTAATAAAATCGGAGCTAATCACTGGGTCGCATAGAACAGCTAATCAAATTACGCATAGCATTTACTATCGAGCGGGACCTAGAACGAGACTGGTCGTTGTTCCCAGAGGGGTCTTTCGAACCCTTTTTCTTTGTTTCAGATGACTTCTTGGTTTTACGGCCTCGTCTCGGCAACGTCGCATCCATTGGTTCCAGCGGAGCGACTGCTATTTCACCAGTTCTCGCGGGCTTCAAGTCAGATTTCGTTATTTCGGGCGTGACCGGGCTAGAAATATCAGTCGCCACTTTAGAAAGGACAAGAGATTTAGTTTGTTTTGATACGGATCCTCGACTTTTCAAAGAGGACCGCGAAAAACTCTCTGTTTTCTGGAGCGACTGCGACTTTGCAGAATTCGTCTCAACAACAGCTTGCTCATCATCATGCTCATTTTCTTTGGATCCGTTCAGACTTTGTTCAGGTTGATGTTCGATTTTCATAATTGACAGTTTCGCGTTTTTCGGAAGCGTTTTGTTGGGTGAATCCGAAATATTGAACCGGTTCAGTTTTGGACTTGACTTTGTCTTTTCATCATAGTCATTTGCTTGACTTTGACTCCAGCTGTATTTCGGCGGTCGGAAAAATGTAGAAGCGTAAAACTCCGCTCTATTTCGCTCAATTTCATCTCTGATGCTCGAGGACCGACCCGACCTTGTCTCCGGTGAAGTTTGTCGTCTTCTTAATGTCGAAATACTTCCGGGGTCTGTTTCATGACCGTTACGCTGCTGTGGTGGGAAAATTTGCAGGTCCCTGCAATATGGCCTAGGACTGATACCTCTGGCATAGGTGTCCAGGATTCCGTATGATGAAGCGGATCGAACATTTGGTCGTTGACTCTGCTTAGAAGAGGTTCTTCCACGTTGTGTAAACCCTTCAGTATCTGATTGCACGTAGTAGCTGGCGTCGTTTGAATACTTAGCCGATCTGTTTAACGTCGGTGCGTCTGAGAAGTAGTGTTCGTTGTCACTGAAGAACCCATTAGACTCTGGAATTCCTCGAATTGAATTTGAGAATCGTAAAGATCCTTTCAGCTGTATCATACACTCGCCTTCATCAGAAGAGAAATCGCCACGACGTTTGCTTGGGCTTCCGAATCCATTGGTTACAACTAACATTTCCTCAACATCTTGAACCGGAGTCTTTCTCTCTTCAGGAGTATCTCGAACTGGACTCGCGTCAACTGCAATTCCTGCATCTTCGTCAACGACCGTAGAGTCATCGGAGTCGATATCGGATATCTGCTTTAACTCGTCGAAATTGGACGTCCCAGCATTTTCTGCACTGACCTGATCTAAAATTTGATCACTTACCTTGCTATGAGAAACAAGCTGATCTTCTGAAAAACTGGATCGCTGGGACTGTTCCAGAAGCTCCTTGTCAATTAATACAGACAATGATTCTTCATCTGGTTCGCCATCTGTCATCTTTTTGGAGAGCATCTCGTGAGCACACTGAACTCCAGGGTCCTCTGATAGTTCAGCGCTGTCGTCAGTTGTTTTTTCTTTTTCCTCGGCATCTGCCAATTTCTCTTCAACGACGGTTTCATGTGTAGTCTCCAGATGCCCATAGCTCAAATCAGACTCATCAATAGCAGGGGACTGGTACAACGTTGCTTCAAACTTCTCAGAAAAGTCTGATTTAATTTCAGGTATTTCGGACTCAATATCGTCACATTCCACCGATTGATTTGATTCGTTAATTTCCGCCACTTTTTCATTTTCAAACTGGTTTTGGTTTTCGATTTGAGTGTCGATTTCTATCTGATTAGCTTTATCGTCATCTTCTTTATTTTCAAGTGCCATTTCATCTTTAACTTCAGGTATCAATTCTGTTGATTTCTGGTCATTCATCTCAGTTGGTTCTTCTGTAACAGGCGGAGAAACGAGTGCTTCCATACTTTGGCGAATATTTTCAGAGAGATCAGTCGGTATTGGGTCAAGGTCAGAAATTTGTAATGATTCAACTGTTTCGTTAACTTCTCTTCCTTCAATTTCAAGCGTATTTCCCATTTTATCTGCAGATTCTTCAACGCTCTCACTTGTTTCTTCGCTCTCTTTTACTTTCTGATTTTTTAAATCATCAGTTGCAGGTGTTTGTATTTTCTCAGCTTCTAGTTCTGTCACTTCCTGTTTCTCCTCTTGCTCGGGTTTGTCTGCTACAAACGAGGAAATGAGTGTTTCCTTTTGATCTGGAACTTCCGCCGCTATTTTAGATTGTTCTGACTTCAATTCTTCCCCCTGAGCCAATTCCATGCTCTCTTCAAGCTCTATCTGTTTTTCAGTTTCAAATTGTTTCCCAATTTGGTTTTCGATATCTTCAAAAGACTCGTTTTCTAGTTCTGTCACCTTGTTCTCATTATCTTTATTTGGCTGTTTTGTAGGAGCCATCGAATCGTCTAAATCTTCAGTTTTGATATCATCTTCAGGAACTTCGGAGGGCGTTGACTCAGTGTCTGTTTTTTCAAAATTTTCAATAGTTTCATTCAAATCGATTGCTTGTTCATTTTCATCGTTTTTAACCTCAGTTTTATCTTTCGGTTCAGATACCAGATCCTCGTTGTCGATATCTTTATTAGGCTGCTTCGTAAGAGATGTCAGAGCGTCTGCATCTTCAATTTCCTCGTCTGGTTTGTCTTGCCCTTCTGATTCCAGCAGTGGTTTATCTCCCAGTACAGAATCCAGTTCAGTGACCCCGTTCTCGATAACTTCGTTAGGTTGGTCTTTGAAAGCCTTTGAAGCGTCTGAATCTTCAGTTTCAAGAGTTTTAGAAGGCGTTGATTCCATTTCTGTTATTTCAACATTTTTGAAAGTTTCCTCTGAAATCAACAGTTGTTCATTTTCGTTGTTTTGAACATCTGGCTTGACTTCCGCTTTAGATTCTAATTCTGTAACCTCAATCTCGGTGTTTTTTATGGGCTGTTCTGTAAGGGCTGGGAAGTCAATGATATCCTCAACTTTGTGGTTGTCTTCAAGAATCTCGGAAGGCGCTAACTCGATGTCTTCTTTTTGGATATTTTCGTCTGTTTCTGCAAGCTTTGAACCTTGCGGATCTTTGTCATCCATATCTTCTAGTTTATCTTCTAATTCGGATTGTACATGTGGTTTATCTTCTAATTCAAAATCCAGTCCTGTGGCCTCCTTCTCCATGTCTGCGTTTGACTGTTCTGTTAGAGCCGATGAAGCCTCTGCATAGTGGACTATGAGGTCATCTTCAGGAATTCCGAAAGGCGCTGGTTCTAACTCTACTTCTTCGATCTTTTCAGTCGTTTCCTCAAACTCCATCGCTTGTTCAGTTTTGTCTTCTGTAACTTCTAGTTTACCGTCTGGTTTAGATTCTTGCGCAACATCTACCGTTTCAGAACCCAGTTCTGTGTTCTCCTTTTCTATGTCTTTTTCAGACTGTTCTTTAGGAACGCTTGAAACGTTTGGATCTTCAGTTTTGAGAATTTTCTCAAGGTTTTCAGCTGGCGTTGTCTTAATGTCTGCTTTTTCAACATTTTCAGCAGTTTCGTTCAACTCGATCGCTTCTTCAACTTCGCCAATTTCAGCTTGTGGTTTATCTTCCACTGTGACCTCTTCCTTGATTTCCTCATTTGGCTGATCTGTAGCAGCATTTGAAGCCTCTGTATCGTGGACTACAAAGTCATCTTCAGGAATCTGGAAAGGCGCTGATTCCAACTCCTCTTTTACGATCTTTTCAGTCGTTTCCTCAAACTCCATCGCTTGTTCAGTTTTGCCTTCTGTAACTTCTAGTTTACCGTCTGGCTTCGATTCTTGCGGATCATCTGCCGGTTCAGAATCCAGTTTTGTGTTCTCCTTTTCTATGACTTTTTCAGACTGTTCTTTAGGAACGCTTGAAACGTTTGAATCTTCAGTTTTGAGAATTTTCTCAAGGTTTTCAGCTGGCGTTGTCTTAATGTCTGCTTTTTCAACATTTTCAGCAGTTTCGTTCAACTCGATCGCTTCTTCAACTTCGCCAATTTCAGCTTGTGGTTTATCTTCCACTGTGACCTCTTCCTTGATTTCCTCATTTGGCTGATCTGTAGCAGCATTTGAAGCCTCTGTATCGTGGACTACAAAGTCATCTTCAGGAATCTGGAAAGGCGCTGATTCCAACTCCTCTTTTACGATCTTTTCAGTCGTTTCCTCAAACTCCATCGCTTGTTCAGTTTTGCCTTCTGTAACTTCTAGTTTACCGTCTGGCTTCGATTCTTGCGGATCATCTGCCGGTTCAGAATCCAGTTTTGTGTTCTCCTTTTCTATGACTTTTTCAGACTGTTCTTTAGGAACGCTTGAAACGTTTGAATCTTCAGTTTTGAGAATTTTCTCAAGGTTTTCAGCTGGCGTTGTCTTAATGTCTGCTTTTTCAACATTTTCAGCAGTTTCGTTCAACTCGATCGCTTCTTCAACTTCGCCAATTTCAGCTTGTGGTTTATCTTCCACTGTGACCTCTTCCTTGATTTCCTCATTTGGCTGATCTGTAGCAGCATTTGAAGCCTCTGTATCGTGGACTACAAAGTCATCTTCAGGAATCTGGAAAGGCGCTGATTCCAACTCCTCTTTTACGATCTTTTCAGTCGTTTCCTCAAACTCCATCGCTTGTTCAGTTTTGCCTTCTGTAACTTCTAGTTTACCGTCTGGCTTCGATTCTTGCGGATCATCTGCCGGTTCAGAATCCAGTTTTGTGTTCTCCTTTTCTATGACTTTTTCAGACTGTTCTTTAGGAACGCTTGAAACGTTTGAATCTTCAGTTTTGAGAATTTTCTCAAGGTTTTCAGCTGGCGTTGTCTTAATGTCTGCTTTTTCAACATTTTCAGCAGTTTCGTTCAACTCGATCGCTTCTTCAACTTCGCCAATTTCAGCTTGTGGTTTATCTTCCACTGTGACCTCTTCCTTGATTTCCTCATTTGGCTGATCTGTAGCAGCATTTGAAGCCTCTGTATCGTGGACTACAAAGTCATCTTCAGGAATCTGGAAAGGCGCTGATTCCAACTCCTCTTTTACGATCTTTTCAGTCGTTTCCTCAAACTCCATCGCTTGTTCAGTTTTGCCTTCTGTAACTTCTAGTTTACCGTCTGGCTTCGATTCTTGCGGATCATCTGCCGGTTCAGAATCCAGTTTTGTGTTCTCCTTTTCTATGACTTTTTCAGACTGTTCTTTAGGAACGCTTGAAACGTTTGAATCTTCATTTTTGAGAATTTTCTCAAGGTTTTCAGCTGGCGTTGTCTTAATGTCTGCTTTTTCAACATTTTCAGCAGTTTCGTTCAACTCGATCGCTTCTTCAACTTCGCCAATTTCAGCTTGTGGTTTATCTTCCACTGTGACCTCTTCCTTGATTTCCTCATTTGGCTGATCTGTAGCAGCATTTGAAGCCTCTGTATCGTGGACTACAAAGTCATCTTCAGGAATCTGGAAAGGCGCTGATTCCAACTCCTCTTTTACGATCTTTTCAGTCGTTTCCTCAAACTCCATCGCTTGTTCAGTTTTGCCTTCTGTAACTTCTAGTTTACCGTCTGGCTTCGATTCTTGCGGATCATCTGCCGGTTCAGAATCCAGTTTTGTGTTCTCCTTTTCTATGATTTTTTCAGGCTGTTCCTTAGCAACGCTTGAAACGTCTGAATCTTCAGTTTTGAGAATTTTCTCAAGGTTTTTAGCAGTTTCGTTCAACTCGATCGCTTCTTCAACTTCGCCAATTTCAGCTTGTGGTTTATCTTCCACTGTGACCTCTTCCTTGATTTCCTCATTAGGCTGATCTGTAGCAGCATTTGAAGCCTCTGTATCGTGGACTACAAAGTCATCTTCAGGAATCTGGAAAGGCGCTGATTCCAACTCCTCTTTTACGATCTTTTCAGTCGTTTCCTCAAACTCCATCGCTTGTTCAGTTTTGCCTTCTGTAACTTCTAGTTTACCGTCTGGCTTCGATTCTTGCGGATCATCTGCCGGTTCAGAATCCAGTTTTGTGTTCTCCTTTTCTATGACTTTTTCAGACTGTTCTTTAGGAACGCTTGAAACGTTTGAATCTTCAGTTTTGAGAATTTTCTCAAGGTTTTCAGCTGGCGTTGTCTTAATGTCTGCTTTTTCAACATTTTCAGCAGTTTCGTTCAACTCGATCGCTTCTTCAACTTCGCCAATTTCAGCTTGTGGTTTATCTTCCACTGTGACCTCTTCCTTGATTTCCTCATTAGGCTGATCTGTAGCAGCATTTGAAGCCTCTGTATCGTGGACTACAAAGTCATCTTCAGGAATCTGGAAAGGCGCTGATTCCAACTCCTCTTTTACGATCTTTTCAGTCGTTTCCTCAAACTCCATCGCTTGTTCAGTTTTGCCTTCTGTAACTTCTAGTTTACCGTCTGGCTTCGATTCTTGCGGATCATCTGCCGGTTCAGAATCCAGTTTTGTGTTCTCCTTTTCTATGATTTTTTCAGGCTGTTCCTTAGCAACGCTTGAAACGTCTGAATCTTCAGTTTTGAGAATTTTCTCAAGGTTTTTAGCAGTTTCGTTCAACTCGATCGCTTCTTCAACTTCGCCAATTTCAGCTTGTGGTTTATCTTCCACTGTGACCTCTTCCTTGATTTCTTCATTTGACTGATCTGTAGCAGCATTTGAAGCCTCTGTATCGTGAACTACAAAGTCATCTTCAGGAATTCCAAAAGGCGCTGATTCCAACTCCTCTTTTACGATCTTTTCAGTCGTTTCCTCAAACTCCATCACTTGTTCAGTTTTGTCTTCTGTAACTTCTAGTTCGGCTTCTGGTTTAATTTCCACAGAGACTTCCTCTTTGTAATTTTCACTTGACTGTTGAGTAATTGAAGCTTCTGTATCCTGAACTACTAGGTCATCTTCAAGAGTTTTAGGAGAATCTGACTGCAACTCTTTCTTTTCGATACTCTCAGTTAATTCCTCGATTTCCATTGCTTGTCCGGTTTTATCGTCCGTAGCTTCTAGTTCATCAGCTAGATCATAATCAAACGGCCCATCTACAACTTTAGAGACCAGTTCTGTGTGTTCTTTCTCTGTGTATTCTTCAGGCTGTTTTTTATGAACGTTTGAATGGTCTGAAACTCTGGCAAGCGCTGACTCAATGCCCGCGTTTTCAACAGTTTCAATAGATTCATTCAACTTGACCGTCTGTTCAGTTTCGGCAATTTCATCTTCTAGAACATCCTTCAATTCAGTGACTTCCTTGTTATCTTCAGTTGACTGTTTTGCAGGACTTTTTGAAGCGCCTGTGTCCTGAACTAATAGATCGTCCTCCAAAATTTCAGAATGTGATGAATCCAAGTCTTGCTGCTGGATACTCTCAGTTGTTTCCTCTTTGCCTTCGAGAAACTCCTCAGATGTTTTGGCAGTCGATGATTGAATTTCTGCGTTTTCAACGGTTTCAATATTTTGGTTCAAATCGACCACTTGCCCAGATTCATCAATTTCAGCTTCTGTTTTATTTTCCACTGTGACTTTTTCTTTGATATCTTCATTTGTTTGTTCTGTTGGAATAATTGAAGCTTCTGTATTGTGAACTACTAGGCCATCTTCAAGCGTGTTGGAAGGCTCTGACTTGAACCCTTCTTTTTCAATAGTCTCATTTAATTCCTCGATTACCATTGCTTGTCCAGTTTTGTCGTCTGTAGCGTCTGGTTCATCCTCCAGTATAGAGTCCACCTGTGGATCTCCCATTATAGGGTCCAGTTCTGTGCGCTCCTTCTCTATGCCTTCATCAGGCATTTCTTGAAGAATGTTTGAAGCGTCTGCTTCATCAGCATTGAGAATATTTTCCGGAATTTTGGAAAGCGCCGACTCCAAGTCTTCTTTTTTGATACTTCCAGTTGTTTCCTCGAAATCCAACGCTTGTTCAATTCTTTCATCTGTAGATTTTGGTTTATCCTCCTGTTCAGTTTTTTCCGGTTTATCTTCCAGGTCTGATTCCACTTCATTATACTCCTTCTCCAAGTCTTCTTCAGGCTGTTCTATAAGAATGCTAGAAGCGTCAGACTCTCTAATTTTGACCACGTCCTCGGTAGCTTCGGCTGGTGTTGACTCAATGTCTGCTTTTTCAACCGTTTTAACAGTTTCATTCTGCTCGAACGCTTGTTTAGTTTCGTCATTTTCGGCTTCTGGTTCATCTTTAGCTGTCGTCTCCTTGGTATCTTCATTTGGTGCAGAAATTTTTGAGGACTCTGACTCGTGAACTATAAGGCCATCTTCAGAAAACTTGGAAGGCGCTGACTCTGAGTCTTGTTGTTCGACACTTTCAATTGTTTTCTCAAATCCCAACGCTCGTTCGTTTTTGTCATCTGTAGCCTCAGGTTTTTCCTCCAGTTTAACTTCCTGTGGTTCAATTTCTGTTTCGGATTCCAGTTTTGTGCGATATTTCTCTATGTCTTCTTCTGACTGTTCTTGAATAACATTTGAAGCGTTTGAATCTTCAGTATCTAGAAAATCTTCAGTAATTTTGGCACGCATTAACTCACTGTCTGTTTTTTTAACATTTTCATTAGTTTCGTTCATCTCAAACGCTTGTTCAGTTTCTTCAATTTCAGCTTGTTGTTTTGATTCCACTGTTACATTCTCTTTGATATCTTGATTTGGCTCTACTGTACGCGCCTTTGAAGCCTCTGCATTGTGATTTATAAAATTACCTCCAGGAAGTTCGGCAGGCAAAGAGTCCAAATCGTCTTTTATTAGAGTTTCAGCTCTTTCCTCGAGTTCCATAACTTGCTCAGCTTTGCCGTCTGTAGCTTCTGGTTTACTGTCTGCTTCAGATTCCTTCTGCTCATCTCCTTGTTCAGATTCTAGGTGTGTGCGGTCCTTCTCTATGTCTTCTTGAGGCTGTTTATCAACAGCGCTTGAAGAGTCTGAATCCTCAGCTTTGAGAATATCCTCACGAGTTTCGGAAGGCGGTGACTGAAGGTCTGACTTTTCAACAATTTGAATAGTTTTGTTCAACTCAATCGCTTGTTCAGTTTCGTCAGTTTTAACTTCTGATTGATCTTTCACGGTGACGTCCTCCTCGATACATTCATTTGGCTGTTCTGAAGGAGCATTTGAAGCCTCTGAATTGTGCACTATAAGGTCGCTTTCAGTAACTTCTGTAGGCAACGAAGGCAAGTCTTCTTTTACAACTTTTGCAGTTAGTTCCTCGACTTCCATCGCTTGTTCAGTTTTGTCTTCTGTAATTTTTGGTTTTTCTTCCGGTTCACATTCCAGTTGTTGTTTATATACAGGTTCAAACTCCAGTGCTGAGAGCTTATTCTCCGTATTTTTTCCAATCTGATCTGCAGGAGCCTCTGAAGCGTCTAAATTTTTATTTTCAATAGTCTCTTTAAGATTTTTGGAAGCTTCTGACTCAACATCTGCTGTTTGAAATTTTTCAATTGATTCTTCGGTATAGATAGCTGGTTCAATTTCGTCTTTTTGAGCTTTCAATTTATTTTCTGGGTCAGATTCTAGGTCTGCGACCTGTACGATATTTTCAAGCTGGTTTTCTGCAGAAGTCGTTAAACCGTCTGGATCTTGGACTGCATGGTCGTCTCCAGGGACTTCAAAATGCGTGGACTCGATGTTTTCTTTTTTAAAGTTTTCTTTTATTTCCTCAAACTCAATTGTCTGTTCAGCTCCGATGTCGGTAACTTCTGGTTTTTCTTCCCGATCAGATTCCAGTTGTTGCTCATTTACCGATTTAGCCGCGGTTTCTGTAAGCTGCTTCTCCGTATCTTTTTCATTGGGCGTTTCTGTTCTAAATACGTCTTCAACAATATTGGAAGGCTCAATATCTGGTGTTTCAGCATTTTCAGTTATTTCTTCCGAAATAATAGCTTGTTCAGTTTCGTCCTCCTTAAACTCTAGTTCAACCTCTTGTTCAGATTCTAGTTCTGTGATCCCGTTTTCAATTTTTTTAGTCAGCTTTTCTGTAAAAGTGGCCAAAGCATCTGTTTCTTCAGTTTTGTGATCTTCTTCACCTTTGTGGTCTTCGGAAGCCAATGACTCAGTGTCTCCTGTTTCAACAATGTCAATAGTTTTTTCGAAGTCTTTGGCTTGTTTCGATTCGTCTTCTGATTTGACTTCCTGTTGACACTCCAGTTCTGGTACTTCCTTCTCGATATTCTCAATGATATCTTCCTTGATAGCATGCTCATTGATATCGCCTAAATCGGTCTTCAGTGTAACTTCTGTGTCTTCCAGTTCCGATACATCTTGCGTTTCATGTATTTCATGTACAGTTTCTGTTGCATCTCTCTGTGTATCTTCATTTAGCTGTTCTGTTGTAGCCGTAGGAACATCTGAATCATTGTTCACTTTAGGCACGTCTTCCTGATTCTCTGAGGGCGCTGATTTGTTGCATTCTTGTACAATAGGCTCAATCGTTTCTTCAATTTCTTGAAGATCAAGTTCCGGTTCATCTTCCGATTGAGGTTCCAGTTCTGTATTTTCCTGATTAACAGTTACATTTGTTTCTTCGGCAACAAAGGGCGACACCAGTGAGTCCAAGTTTTTTAGTACACTTTCGGGAAGTTTAGACGACTGTGGCTCAATGTTGTCTATAAGGACCGATTCAAGTGTTTCTTCAATTTCTGGCGTTTCTTCATTTTGCTTGTCATGTAGATCTGGTATTTCCTCCGATTCAGATTCCAGCTGGCTCGGTTCCTGTCGGTCACTTTCGTTTGGTTTTTCGATGTCAGATTGTCGAGCAACGCTTGTCTCTAAACTACTGGTACCGTCTTCTGGATACTCAGATAGTACTGACTCGATGTCTTCTTTTTGGACAGATTCAATTGTTTTATCAGTTTTTAAAGCTGTGTCTATTTGGTCCTGGTTTTCCGTTCCATTATCAGATGCTTCAACTGTCTGGTTTTCCTCATCTTCATGTATAGCTTGTTCTTTTTCTTCTTGTTTTCGTCTTGCTTCTTCATCATCATCGTCTTCTCCTGCTTCAGACGAGATTATATGTTCCAACTCAGGCTCTTTTTCAAAAGGTGTCCCAATATCCGATTCTGACGTTCTTTCATTGCTGTAATTCATGGTTTCGAAGTCTTCAGGTTGCAGATCAAAATGAACATGACGCTCCGATACACCCGCTGGCTCTTTATTAGCTTCTATTGAAAACTCGAACGCTTCCAGTACAATGTCTTCGATGCTTATCATTTGGCTTGTCTCTACTGCTTCAGAGCTCTCCGCGACTTCTGACTCGTCAATGGGTCTTCGCTCCGCGACTTCCTGCTCAGTTTCTGAGTCGTCAATGAGTCTTTGATCTGTTCGAGATGTCTGGCGCAAGAAACTTTGTTCAGTTGTTTTGTTCGTAGTTTTAGAACTCGAACTGGAAAGTACAGTCTGAAATTGGGCGTCAAAAACCGATCGCTTATTCGAAATACTGCTGGTAACTGAAGTTGTACTCTTGCTCTGACTTGTTTCCCCTTCGCTTGTTTGAGACACTTGTTCCCAAAAAGAAATCAATTTTTTGTGTTTCTCAGTTCCAGATTTCGAGTCATCATTTTCGGTTGTTAGCTTGCTTTGGCCTTGTTGGTGCAATTTCACAGATTGCTGGTCAATGGCAGCCTCAAAAATCGACACCTTGGATCCTACTGGCAGCTCTTCGACGTTAGAACTAGCCGGTTTGGTTTCCAAAGTCTGTCTAGCGAGTTGTTCTGCAGCCGTTTCTTCCTCTACATTTTCTGAAGAACCAACTAAGACGATGGGTTCAAGCTCTACGTGCTTGTCAAACAGCTGCTGGCTAACCGCTTCAGTTGGACTTTCCTGGGACTTCAATTCATCTGCCAGAATTTCTGCGACTATTGGTTCCTCTGTTTCATTCACAGCAGTATCAGTCATACCGATGGTTTCTCTCTCGGCGTCGTTGTCTATTGGACTCATCTGAGCCTTAGTTTCGTCTGTTCCAGTTCTTTCAACTGCTGAGCTTACTCCTGCGTTTTGTGTAGAATTGACTAGCTCGTTGGTTTCAGGTTCATTGCCTAAGAGCTGTTCGTTGAACTCTTCCAAGTGACTCTCCTGGGTCTTCGTTTCGGCTGCTTCACTGTCTTCGGCTAGTTGGTCCGTTGAAATATCTACAGAAACAGTTCGTTCGATGTGTCCAGGCTTGACATCGCTGTCTTGAAGCTGAGTGTCAAACACTTCCAATGGACTGTCCTGAGTCTTAGTTTCTTCATCTTCTTGGGATGTCAAAGTTTCTATTTCATTCTCAGAAGAAAAGTGCAACTCATTGTTTTCACGCTCCACGTTGTTGCCTGAAAACTGTTGTTCGATCTGTTCCATGGAACTTTCGCATGTTTCGGTCTCGTCTAAAGTGTGATCTTCAATTACCTTTTCTGTAAAATCTGTCAGAATGATGGGTGCTGACTCATCATCGTTGTCTATGAGCTGATCGTTGAGCTTTTCCATTGAACTATCCTGGGTCTCAATTTCTCCCTTTTCAATTTCTTCGGCCGCTGGATCCGGACCTGCAATCTCGCCAGCCAGATCGATGGGTTCAGGCTCCACATTGCTGTCTAATAGCTGGTTGCTGAACTCTGCCGCTTGGCTGCCTTGTGTCTCAGTTTCGTCTTTTTCATTTTCTTCATTCTCTGTAGCATAAATAGGCTCCGTGGTTTCCTGCTCCATATCTTTTTCTTCAAGGTGCTGGTTGAATTTTTCCGTGGGACTCTCCTGCATTTCTAATGAATTTTCTGGGGTCTGAGTTTCTTCCGTTTTGATTTCTTCGGCCGCAGGATCTCCAATAACAACCTGTGTTAAATCAGGATTGACATCGTTGTTCGACAGCAGATTGTTGAAATTATCTAATTGACATTCCTGGGTCTTAGTTTCATCGACAGTTGGGTCTTCAGTTGTAGTCTCTGTAGAATCAATCTGATGCGTGACGTTTGATTCGATATCACTATCTAGCAGATGATGGCTGAGCTCTTCCAATGGAGTCTCTGGTATCTTCATTCGATCTGCTTCCTCGGCTTCATTTTCCGTAGAGCCGGTAAGATCGATGGGTTTTTGCTCTATATCGTTCTCTAAGAGCTGTTGTTTGAACTCTTCCATTTGGTTCTCCTCGGTCTTTGTTTCCCCTAATTCTCTTTCTTCGGCTGTTAAATCCTCTGATTCTTTCTGGATAGGTTCATTTAGCTCGCTAGTTGTTTCAGGCTCGAAATCGTTGTCTGAGAGCTGTTGTTTGAACTCTTTCATTGAACTCTCTTGAGTTTTCATTTCCTCTGTTACAGTTTCTTCGACGATAGGTTGGTCAGTTGCACTTTCTATAGAATCAATATTTTCGGAGGGTTTAGTCTCGACATCGTTTGCTAAAAGTTGCTTTTTAAACTCTTCTGTAGGACTCGCGTGGCTCATCATGTCGTCGCTTGCATTTTCTTCGATTGTCGCATCCTCAGTGACTTTTTCTGCAGTTCCTGTTAGTTCGCTGTGCTCAGGGTCAAAAGTGCTGTCTAAAAACTGCTTGTTACATTCATCGATTGGATTCTCTTGCGTCATCAATTCGTCTGTTTTACATTCTTCTGATGTTATATCCTCAGCTGCAATCTGTTTATAGTCCATCAGGCCGGCATCTTCAAGCTCGATATCGTTGTCTAAAAGCTGTTGGTTGAACTTTTCCGTTGCACTCTCCCGGGTAATTATAGCGTCGGTTTCGCATTCTTGGGCTGTTGAATTCTCAGCTTCATTCCCTTTAGAATCATTCAGCTCACTAGTTTCAGAATCGACATCGTTGTCTACGAGCCGTTGGTTGAACTCTTCCGTTGCACTCTCCCGGGTATCCTTTGCGTCCGTTTCGAATTCTTTGGCTGTTGAATCCTCTGCTTCATTCCGTTTAGAATCGTTCAGCTCGCTTGTTTCAGGGTCAGCATTGTTGTCTACAAGCTGCTGGTTGATCTCTTCCGTTAAACTTTCCCGGGTATTCAAGGCGTCTGTTTCACTTTCTTTGGCTGTTGAATTCTCAGCTTCATTCCCTGTAAAATCATTCGTACCACTTGTCTCATAATCGACATCGTTGTTTACAAGCTGTTGGTTGAACTCATCCGTTGCACTCTCTACCCTATTCTTTCCGGCCGTTTCACTTTCTTTGGCTGCTGAATCCTCTGCTTCATTCCGCGTAGAATCATTCAATTCGCTTGTTTCAGGATCAGCGTTGTTGTCTACAAGCTGCTGGTTGATCTCTTCCGTTAAACTTTCCCTGGTATTCAAGGCGCCTGTTTCGCTTTCTTTGGCTGTTGAATTCTCAGCTTCATTGCCTGTAAAATCATTCGTATCGCTTGTCTCATAATCGGCATCGTTGTCTACATGCTGTTGGTTGAACTCTTCCGCTGCAGTCTCTCGCGTATCCTTTGCGGTCGTTTCACTTTCTTTGGCTGTTGAATCCTCTGTTTCATTCCGCGTAGAATCATTCAACTCGCTGGTTTCAGGACTGACATCGTTATCTAAGAGTTGGTGGTTGAACTCTCCCATTGCACTCTCCTGGGTATTTGTAGCATCTTTTTCACTTTCTTCAGCTGTTGAGTCCTCTGCATCATTCCGTCTCGAATCGTTCAACTCGCCTGTTTCAGGATCGACATCGTTGTCTGAGAGCTGTTGGTTGCACTCGTCCGTTGCATTCTCCCAGGTATTCGTAGCGTCTTTTTCATTTTCCTCAGCTGTTGAATCCTCTGCATCATTCCGTATCGAATCATTCAGCTCGCCTGTTTCAGGATCGACATCGTTGTCTGAGAGCTGTTGGTTGCACTCGTCCGTTGCATTCTCCCGGTTATTCATAGCGTCTGTTACACTTTCTTCGATTGTTGAATCCTCTGCATCATTCCGTGTCGAATCATTCAGCTTGCCTGTTTCAGGATCGACATCGTTGTCTAAGAGCTGTTGGTTGCACTCGTCCGTTGCATTCTCCCGGGTATTCATAGCGTCTGTTACACTTTCTTCGATTGTTGAATCCTCTGCATCATTCCGTGTCGAATCATTCAGCGTGCCTGTTTCAGGATTGACATCGCTGTCTGAGAGCTGTTGGTTGCACTCGTCCGTTGCATTCTCCCGGTTATTCATAGCGTCTGTTGCACTTGCTTCGATTGTTGAAACCTCTGCATCTTTCCGTGTCGAATCATTCAGCTTGCCTGTTTCAGGATCGACATCGTTGTCTAAGAGCTGTTGGTTGCACTTGTCCGTTGCATTCTCTCGGGTATTCATAGCGTCTGTTACACTTTCTTCGTTTGTTGAATCCTCTGCTTCATTTCTTGTAGAATCATTCATATCGCTTGTTTCAGGATCGACATCGTTGTCTAAGAGCTGTTGGTTGCACTCGTCCGTTGCATTCTCCTGGGTATTCATAGCGTCTGTTACACTTTCTTCGATTGTTGAATCGTCTGCATGATTCCGTATCGAATCAGTCAGCTTGCCTGTTTCAGGATCGACATCGTTGTCTAAGAGCTGTTGGTTGCACTCGTCCGTTGCATTCTCCCGGGTATTCATAGCGTCTGTTACACTTTCTTCGATTGTTGAATCCTCTGCATCAATCCGTATCGAATCATTCAGCTTGCCTGTTTCAGGATCAACATCGTTGTCTAACAGCTGTTGGTTACACTCGTCCATTGCATCATCCTGGGTATTCATAGCGTCTGTTACACTTTCTTCGATTGCTGAATCCTCTGCTTCATTTCCTGTAGAATCATTCATATCGCTTGTTTCAGGATCGACATCGTTGTCTAAGAGCTGTTGGTTGCACTCGTCCGTTGCATTCTCCCGGTTATTCATAGCGTCTGTTACACTTTCTCCGATTGTTGAATCCTCTGCATCATTCCGTGTCGAATCATTCAGCTCGCCTGTTTCAGGATCAACATCGTTGTCTGAGAGCTGTTGGTTGCCCTCGTCCGTTGCATTCTCCCAGGTATTCGTAGCGTCTTTTTCATTTTCCTCAGCTGTTGAATCCTCTGCATCATTCCGTGTCGAATCATTCAGCTTGCCTGTTTCAGGATCGACATCGTTGTCTAAGAGCTGTTGGTTGCACTCGTCCGTTGCATTCTCCCGGTTATTCATAGCATCTGTTACACTTTCTTCGATTGTTGAATCCTCTGCATCATTCCGTGTCGAATCATTCAGCTTGCCTGTTTCAGGATCGACATCGTTGTCTAAGAGCTGTTGGTTGCACTTGTCCGTTGCATTCTCTCGGGTATTCATAGCGTCTGTTACACTTTCTTCGTTTGTTGAATCCTCTGCTTCATTTCTTGTAGAATCATTCATATCGCTTGTTTCAGGATCGACATCGTTGTCTAAGAGCTGTTGGTTGCACTCGTCCGTTGCATTCTCCTGGGTATTCATAGCGTCTGTTACACTTTCTTCGATTGTTGAATCGTCTGCATGATTCCGTATCGAATCAGTCAGCTTGCCTGTTTCAGGATCGACATCGTTGTCTAAGAGCTGTTGGTTGCACTCGTCCGTTGCATTCTCCCGGGTATTCATAGCGTCTGTTACACTTTCTTCGATTGTTGAATCCTCTGCATCAATCCGTATCGAATCATTCAGCTTGCCTGTTTCAGGATCAACATCGTTGTCTAACAGCTGTTGGTTACACTCGTCCATTGCATCATCCTGGGTATTCATAGCGTCTGTTACACTTTCTTCGATTGCTGAATCCTCTGCTTCATTTCCTGTAGAATCATTCATATCGCTTGTTTCAGGATCGACATCGTTGTCTAAGAGCTGTTGGTTGCACTCGTCCGTTGCATTCTCCCGGTTATTCATAGCGTCTGTTACACTTTCTCCGATTGTTGAATCCTCTGCATCATTCCGTGTCGAATCATTCAGCTCGCCTGTTTCAGGATCAACATCGTTGTCTGAGAGCTGTTGGTTGCCCTCGTCCGTTGCATTCTCCCAGGTATTCGTAGCGTCTTTTTCATTTTCCTCAGCTGTTGAATCCTCTGCATCATTCCGTGTCGAATCATTCAGCTTGCCTGTTTCAGGATCGACATCGTTGTCTAAGAGCTGTTGGTTGCACTCGTCCGTTGCATTCTCCCGGGTATTCATAGCGTCTGTTACACTTTCTTCGATTGTTGAATCCTCTGCATCATTCCGTGTCGAATCATTCAGCTCGCTTGTTTCAGGATCGGTATTGTTTTCTAAGAGCTGTTGGTTGAACTCTTCCATTGGTGTTGCTTGAGTCTGTGTTTCTTCGGTTTCTTTTTCCTTGACTATCTTTTCCTCAGATGCCCTTTCTGTAGAATCATTTAGCTCGCCGATTTCCTCTTCTGCAGCTCCAGGATACTCCACGTGTTCGAAAGCATTCTTTTCTACGAGACTTGATTTCAACTCTTCGCTTGTACCCTTCTTTCCATCATCAGCATCCTTGTCCTTTGTATCGAAATGAGCCTCCAGGGCGGATTCCACTTCGCTTTCAACTTCAATCTCTTCCCGTTCCTTCTCTGAGTTGTTCTTCTCCAGAATATCAACCTCTTCGTCGCGGTCACCCCTGGAGGGATCCCCCGTCAATTTTGAATCCTGTTCTCCTTCTATTTGAATGCTTCCTTCCACTTCATCCTCTCCAGGTAGAAGATGTGCATCTGGCGTCTTTTCATCTCTTGCTTGTTTCGTAGTATCCTCTAGATCTAAAAATGGATGCTATGGCTCAAAAATTGTGCGCGCTCAATCAACCTTAGACTGAATTCTGGGTCATTTGATTTTTTATCAGCTTCACTTCGAAGTTTGAAATGGTCTGATTGAAACAAGTAAACTGCCCAAATTTTCAACAAACAGAATATTTGTTATTTTGTTCGATTTTATTTTTTGTTCGATGTTCGAGATTATTTGCCTTTTGTTACTTTGTACGATTTCTCAAAATTTATGATGTTTACATGAAGAAAAAATCATATTAAAGCTTTTCAAAATTGTTTGTGTCGAAAAAACTGTTTTAGAAAAAATCTGTACCTAAAAACTCACAGAAAAACGATATTCGATAACTGAATTGTTTGAATGAGCATATGAGTTTTTTTTTAAATAACAAATGAATTGGAGAAAACTTCCTCCAATTGAAGCTAGCAATCAATAGTTTCACTGTTTGCCACAGTTTTACAGACTCTAGCATAAAATGAAATTTTTCGACTCGAACGTGTCCCGCGTAGGAGCTTCATTGATACTAATCGATTTTATTGAATTTTTGTTATCAGTTTCTAAAAAGATTAGAAATATAGTCAATTAAAAATGAATTATAATCTTAATTTTTGTCAAATCAAAGATTCTGTTTAATTTTTTAGTTTCTCATTTTTTTGAAAATCTATTTCTACTTTCCTCAATCCAATTGTCCAATTTACGCCCCCCCCCCCTCACCATCTCGTTTAAGTCTCCCCGTTTACACCCAAAACCAAATACCCCCCCCCCTCCTCCCGCTTACAACGCCTCGTTTACAAAAGCGAAAGGGTAAGGAAGTAGAGTGGGGTTAAAAACGCATTTTATATAGAAAGCCCGGAATGTTCCGACGGCCGTTCAATTGGTCTCGAATAACTTATTGGCAAAATATGAATTTCAGACTGATAATATCAATTGAGCATCTATATTCCTCACTTTCTTCGAAAGTCCGAATACAAATAATTAAGTTTAGATTTCGAGTAGACAGTGAGTAAAGCAGAAATTGTTGAACAAGTTTCGCGAATAGTTTTACAAAAAAAATATAGAGATTATAATCCATTATCTCTGCCGAAACCGGTTAACTACCATTTCTCAGAAATGTCGTATTTGAGCCCTTTGTGGAAGGTTTTGACCAAAAAACTGTATTTTTAAGCCTGCATTTTCCCCTAGATGAGATTTGTCTAAATTTGTCCTAAGTTGCCTTCAGAAAAAAATTTAGCATTGGTCGGCCATAAATGGCTTTTGTAAACTAGGCGGGTTCCAAATGGTAAACCAAAAGGGGGACTCTTTGGATAAATTTGGCAACCAAAATTGAGCCCCAGTACGCTACTGTACCCCGATGCAATACCCTTGCAGTAGCTAAACTAAATACTCACCTGTTTGAAAAGCAGAATCACCGACACAATCCACATTCGGTGCTTCCTCTGTCTCAGTGGCTTCGCCGTCATCTTCTAGAATGTTCTCAAGACCACAGGTAGACGACTGGTTATCCAACTGAACGTACTCATCATTTCCATCACTGTAGTTATCATAATCAGTTCTATCATAAGTTGTAACATCGAAATCGACTTCTGAGTTGGGTGTTTCATCACGCATATTTTCATCATCCTCTTGAAGCAAAAGATTTTCATGAAGTTCAAACTCTTCCATGCTACTCAGTCGATCAAAGCTATCTGTCTCGTCTCTTTCGGTCGTTTCACTTGTCGACTCAATGCCCGATATACCATCCTGTTGTAAATTTTGGTCCTGTTTGTCTATGGCGTGTGTTGGATCATCTGTTTGAAATTCTAGCACCGATTTAGCATCAAAATTAGCCGAGTTATCTAACTCAGACATTTCATCATCATCCGCAGTATTCTCAATTCCAAAAGGTTCCTCGGTAGGTGTTTTGGATTCTGTTTCTGGAAGCATCTGTTTTTGAGAATCCTCTGTAACTCCAGAATCGGAACCCCCTGACGACTCAATTTCCACTTCCGACCCACTTTGTGAAATAATTTCATCGGTGTTGTCGGCACATGGAACATCGAAGTCAGTTTTTGTTTCAGCACCAATTGAAGCGTTTTCGTCGCTCGTTTTGTATTCCACTGCCTCTTCCGAATCCGGTTCGTTGTTTTGTTTTGCTTCGTGAGAAGTTATTTTGCTCGTCGTCGTTTCATTTTCCAGCACCTCGTTGTCAAAGCTTTCTTTTGAAATTCCAGACTCGTCTCCATTTGATAATTGGGAGTAGTTAGTGTCTAGGTTTTCTGCCAAAGTCCTGTTTTCAGCGTGAAATGTTGCAGCGTCCGAAACGTCCATTTTTCTATCGTTAAGTAGTGACTTTTGTGGCTCAGTTTAACTTCTGTGGTTCAAAAGGACAATCCTGATAAAAACATCATTGGTATGAATAATACAACTAAAACTATAAAGCGAACATCAAACAAAAACAAGGATAGCCGGTTGCTGTGCAAGTAGCACAGAATCTCCGACCATAGTCATAAAAAAACTGCAAAAAAAATATATTTTTTTCATTATTTCAGAATGAAAACGCTTTTTGTACGCGGTATGATGAGAAAACCATAAAAACGTAGAAAAAGTTAGTTAAATAGGCATTATCGACATCATTTGCCTCAATTAATGAAAAACAAACAAACAAATGAAGACAAAACACTAAAAAAAAGATTCCACAATTTTATTGGTTTTGAAATATTTCTGCTCAGATAGCGTTTAATTAAGCTAAATTTCTGCCTAAGAAGCACTATGAAGTTTTCGTTTTATTAAAATCAAATTTTCGTAGCCTAAAAATTTCAGACAATGAATGTTACTCGATCGCTTTACTCGTTCGAAAATAGACTGAAAATCAAAAATTTCAAACTGTTTTTCTCGACACTGACTGGAAAATTTTTTTGAAATTTTTTTTCTAAATCACGGCTGAAAAAAATATAATCAACCAAATTTTTGGTTATTTGTTATTTGAGGAAAAAGTACATATAACGGCAGATATCAGTAGACAAATTTTTGCGAAGAACCGAATTTTTTAATTGACTTCAAGTTCTGATCATCCGAGGTTTTGAGGAATCTTGGTGGTTTTTTCTTGACATTCCAGAAACTACAAAAAAACATCTGATGATTTCGACTGATATATCATATTAAACTTTTTTAGTTACAATTCTTCCCGCAAAAAGGCAATAATTCTTCCGCGTGTTGAGAAAAACTAGTCTGATTTTTTCTGCTTTCCAGAGTTTCCTTCATGAGTTTCTTGGGGTATGCGGCGATTCGTAGTATGTATAAAAAACGACTATTCACACATTTCGTAAAAAGCGAAAATTATAGCGGCAAACCTTTGGTCAGATTGAAAACGAAAAAAAAAATATGAAACATTTATATAGAAGCACAAAAGGTACAGCAAAAAACAAGCTCGGAACCATCTCAAGTTCCAGCATAGAGAATTTAAGATATTAAAATAATGATAATCATTATTTTCAAACCCAGGACAAACAAGCTCGCAGCCTTTCTCACAAAAAAAACTGTTAACCAAGTTCAAACTTTCTTAGCTGCTTGCACAATAATTGGCATTTCTTGTTGTATTTCTCGCTGCAGAATTCCAATATACCCTGAATTTTATTTTGCCAAGAAATTTCGCCCTAGAGCTAGTTTCTGTTCCGAGCACTCTGGTGTCAAATTTAAGCCGTTGTGTCGTAATTCCGATTCTTAAAAAAAATCAAAAATCAGAACAATTCAAGCGATTATGAGAAAACAGAGAATCCATCAAATGGAAACAACCTTCAAAACCAACGCGTCTGAAGGTTAATTGTAAATTATTCGGAAGCGTTTTTCATCAGTCATCTGTTTTTGCCATCCTGTTTGGAAAAATACAATGATTGCAGACTCGGGGCCCACCCTTGGTTCACCGTGTTTTCTCCCCAAATCAGCTAATGGGTTTTTCCATGTAGAGGGGCGTTGACCTGACCTTGATTTCAGTCTAGCTTCTCTTGATTACTACCTCGAACAAAACTTGCAAAATTGGTAAAGGTAAAATAGCAAAAAAAAAGAGCGCAAAATTGTTCCGTAATTGAAGGAGTATTCGCCTTTAAAACACTTTAATGAAAAAAATAAAATGGTGAAATTCTCAAATAAAAAATAATTTGCAGGCAGTAGCAGATTTAGGCGGCAGGGGCGGACGCGCGCGCCGATGAAAGGGAAAAGCACACGCCGATGAGAGGGAGAAGCGCGCGTCGAAAAAAAACGCAATGTTTTGGACAACATTTTCCAAAAAAATGCCCACAGACGATTTTTTGGCCCGTTTATTCAAAATTGTCCGTGGCACAGAAAATTTGACCAAAACAGGGTATTTAAGTGTTTTGAAAGAACTCAGGGCTCTTCCCCTGCCTCCCTCCCTCCCTCCCTCCCTCCCTCCCGAGTGCAAGCTTACAATAGCTTATTTAAGCTTCAATTAAGCCGTGAAAACTTAAATTTACTCGATTTTTCAGGTCTTAGCGCATTTTTGTGTATCAAAAACTCCAAAAATTCAAAAAAATTTCTGCAAGAAAGAATACGAAAAATTTTGAAAGTTTCTTAAATTGTTTTTACGATTTTTTTTTCTTTTCAAGTAGCAATTTTTTCTGCAAAAAGTTAATGTCTATCAATTGACCTATTTGATTTGGACACTCGCGTTTGCTTAATTTCTTTTTTTTGTTCAGATTTTTTTTATCACACCTCACAGAAAAGAACGACGCTAAATTGAAAAAAAATGTATTTTTTAAGACTATGATCGGATCATTCTGTGCTTTTTGCAAAGTAACTGACTATCCTTGTTAATCTTTATAATTGCTAAACGTGTTACAACGGCTAAATGCATAATGCATGGTGTTACATGCAAAACGCCATGTGAACAATTTTTGAACAGCTTTATTTTGTAATGCTACGAGGGGTTGAGAAACCGTAACAGAGCGCAAATCTGTTCACAGTAATGGGTTTGTTCACCATGCAAAATTTCATTGCATTCTGACAATGTTTAAACAGTTTTCAAAACTTAAAAATCAAATTGGCGAGAGGAAAAAAATCGAGCTCGGAAAATCAATTTGGTCGACACCCACCCACTTCGAGATGATCCTAGATCCGCCCTTGTTTGCAAGTGTAACATTGCCTGGCCATATGAATGCTTTATTGGCTACTAATTAACGAAATTGCAAAAGACTCATTCTGCCAAATTTCTAAGCAGGTTTTGCCGTCGTCGTTTTTCACCTAGAGTCAGCCGAATTTAACAAAAAACGCGTTATGAATTTCAAACTTTGTTCATTTTCTCCGGATAATATATATCAATATAGTATATACCCGTTAACGAACTCCAGGTAACGAACATTACTAGTGTTTTTTGATGATTAAGTTCGGGCCTCTCAAACAGCGTGAAGGCCTTTCAATTTCAATTGGTGCAATAAACCTAGCAGATTCCACTGGATAATGTGTATTTAAAAGGTAATCGAACAATCATTTTTGATGGTGTCCTACAATTTTATACCGTACAATTTAACACCATACATTTAAACACCTAGTCATTTCACTACTAAACAATTTAAAACCACAACAATAGAAATGCCAGGATACTCCAAACTTTCCTGTTAGTTTAGAGTTATTATTTTGGTTGAAGTTACCACTTTGAAGTTAATTTAATTTTTCAAAAGAAACTGACACGTTCATTTTTGTTTCACCAAGCAAAAAAGAAATATCAAAACCCCTAAAAAATACATGTCATGAAAATTGAACCAATATATTAGCATAGAAACAAAAATAGTTTACAAAATTTGATAAAGAAGCAAGCGATTATGATCAAGGTATGAAAGTGGCGAACGTCTTCTCTTCTCAGCAAACATTTAACTCTGAGTGCCATTTTACGATATTCAGTTTCAGTTGGCTAATTCTGGAATGGTTTGATATATATCAATTTGGCAGCATTTCAAAAACTAACGTGGTGTTTTAAATTGACGACTGAAGAAGCCTTAATATAATAACACTAGAGGCCATCAGATCGTTTTTTGATAAAACAAAATTAGAAAGACGACGAAAACTCCCAACGTCCGAGTTTTTACACTACGATTCTTCAGTAGACAGTAAAACCATGAAGGTTTATGAAAATTTAGGCAACAAAAATGTCGATTTTATCCAAAATGGTAAGGATCAACTTCAAAGAAAACGACTGATACATTTTATCTCGGAAGCTGGTTAACGAAACATGGGGTTTGAAGAAACATTAATAATTTATCAAAAAGATCAATTTCTTGAATTGCAAGATTTTGAAAAAAATTCAAATTCTGAAGTAAAAATACTTGAAGCGATTGAAACACTAGTGCTTTCGGTACTCAAAAAATTTTCCAAGCAGTCATGCAAAAACCAGGCTCACAGTTGAAAAAAAAACTTTATTTCAATTCCCTTGATTACATTCGACCAACCTTTCGAATACTGAAAAGTTAAAAAAAAAAGATTGAGTACTACTGACTCCCAAGGTGAAGTTTAAATCTTCAGTAGTTGGAAAAACGATAGTCGGGATTCATACAGAAGGATTCATTGCATAAAGTAACGCGCGCAAGCGTCATGCTTTTTTAGCGGTTGAAAAAATTTCACAAATAATCACTCGACCCTAAAAACCTTTCCTCTAAGTAGTAAAATTTTTACCCTTCAGTTTTTCAGTAATCGGAGAAAAAAATGAATTCTTATTGACTAATTTAATTTACTTTCACTTTCAAGACCCCTGAAATTGCTGGCATTTTCAGAAGCATTGAACACTTATCAATAGTTGAACTTCTAATCATTAAACTTTTTTTGGTTAAGCGCAGAGTTGCTTTGACAGTGTATCATTATTGAGCTATCAGAATGAGACTGTAAAGAGGTATCAAGTAACAATTGCTCAACTATCAAGTATCAATGGACGAATTTTTACTGATTAAAAGTGAAAGATGAATGAACTCAACTATCAAGTCCGAAGAGGTATAATGAGATATCGAGTATCAATTGATTAGCTGAGAGTTTACAAAATTTTACCGAATAAAAATTGTAATTAAATCGAGGAGAATTGATTTTACTAAGAAATAACTTGGCATAAACTAGTGGCTGTTTCGATCCAACTGTAATTGAAAAAACTATAGGGCGTTATGAATATATGACCACGGGATTTTCTGTTTATCAGTGTTTCCGATCTGAATAAGAATTTCAAAAAAAGTAATGATCAAAAAAATTCAGGGAGATGTACATAAATACGTTAAAGCGTTCAATAAAGCATTGATTGAGATGGCCGTGAGATCACTATAATTTCGGTTTTTAATGTTTTGCTAAGTTTGTAAATCAAGACTTTTCTTCATTGATAAAGCGATCATTAACTAATTGTTGGCACACTCAATTTCACATACCACTACCCTTGCTAATTCTCAAAAAATATGAGAAAAAAATTATATATTGAGGGCCGAGGCGGAGAAAAATATCAGCTCAGTTTTCTTTCTAAAAGCAATTTGCATAAACTCAATAAGATAGATCATCAATTTCTCTAGTTAATCAACGAAAAATGCCACACAAAAACTGAAGCACTTTTGATAATGGGGAAGGTGGTGTTCCGATGAAATTGAGCTTACCAACAATTAGTTAATAATAGCTTAACCAATGTTGAAGAAAAACGGTTGGCAAACATCTCAATACATCAAAAACTTAAGCCTTGGCGACCTCACGACTATCTCAATGCATGTTCTAGTGAGTACTCTTCCATTTGTGTACATTTTCCGTAAATTAAATTGATCATCGCTTATTTTTAGAGTCTTAGAGCAAATCAGAAACGGGATAAACAGGCAGCATTAGTAGCGAATTTAGGGGGAGGGGAGGGCCGGACACCTACCCCCTCAGGGATTCGATCTCCTGCCGACCCAAAGGATCCCCCTTTGTACTATTTTGAGGTATCCCTTTTTGGCTGACTGACCTTAAAATTTTTCTAAAGGCGCCTTGGGCGCCAATATATACTAAGTTTGAGGGGAAGCGCGCGCCAAAAAAAAAACGCGATTTTTTTGCCAAAATTTTCCAAAAAGTCCTCAAAAACGCTTTTTTGACCTGTTTTTTCACAAACTTGCCCGCGGCGCAGAAAGATTTGTCGAATTAGGGTCTTTACAGTGATTTGGGAGAGCTCAGAAGTTCAATTCGATTGACCTACAAAAAAGGTCAAAATTTTCAATTTTTTTTTAATCCGTCCCCCTCTCCTCGAGAAATTTCTAGATCCACGCCTGGGCAGCACAGTGTTTATTCATTCAAAAAAACACCCGACTAGTTTTGAAAAACAAAAAAAATTTGACAAAGTTCGGATGTAGAATTTTTCGAGGGGAAGGGCGGATGACAAATTTTTTTTTCAAAAGATGGTCGACCTTTTTTCATGTCGGCAAAAATGAGCTCTTCCGAACGGCCAAAAAGACCCCAGTGAAACAAAGGTTTGTTGTGCACGCTATTTTTTAAAGAAATAATGCCAAAAAAACGTTTTCACTAATTTTTTATTGTTTTATCCAAAACATTCTTTTTGGCGCACACTCTTCCCTCAACAAAAAAAATATTGCTGTGAAAGGCGCCCACCCCTGGAGAAACTTTTATACAATTGTTGGTGGAAAAAAGATGTCGTAGTGGGTTTCCAAATGGGTGCTTTTGGTTGGCGAGGGTTCGAATTCATGAGAGTAAGAGTATCTTATAATCCACCCCAAACTCCGTCCCCACTCAGAAACCGACCCTAAAATGATGCAGAAAAGGTTTTTTAATCAATTGTCTTCGTCTATTATAAATAGAGGCTAACAATGCTCAAAAAAGAACACTTAAAGCGCATTCTCAAACTTACCTTTTTCTGAAGAGCGATAATATTACGCAGGAGTTAATGAGTTTTTGGTCAAAAATTATTAATGAACGAATGCCAGTTTTGCCTAAAAATACTTTTTAATAGAAAGTATTTTGAAACTTTGACGGTCAAACTAATTATAACGTCTGGTTTCTGCTGGTGTTTCTAGATTGAGATTTACTAATCTTGTCTTGTCTTACCTCCCGCCACTGCCGCCGTCGCCTTCGGTTGATACCTGAGATGACGGTGGTTAGTATTAATAACTAGGGTAATAAAAACAGGCGACTGAAGGGAAATAAAATTCGATCTGGGATCTAAAGTCAAATAAAAAATTACAACTTGATTCGCGACTCTTGTTTATAGTGTGTATAAAAGAGCTGCAAAGTAATAAATATTCATAAACACGACCAAAAACTGCTAAAAATGCTGATCAATTTTTACTTAGTCTTATTCCTATTCAACTTTCATCAAATTTTTCGCCTATTTTTGGATAAATTATTTTCTGCCAGGGAACAGGTAACTTTTCAAAATTGAGAAGTTGGTGGGAGCAACCTGTAAAAAAGAGGGCAAATTTTATCTCTCCCTTAAGTTGGAAATAGTTGAATGATATCAGCAAATTATTCATCAGTTCAGAGCGGGGGTGATCCCACACTTGAGCTTTGATAGTGCATTTGCTGAAGGTGCTCCATTAACAACATAGTCTCATTATGCATTCCAACAGAGCTGCTACCTGGGAGCTACTATGTCTAGCCGGCAATGAGGAAAGGAATTAAACTGAAAAGAAAAAACTGCAAAAAAAAACATACGACGAAGAGAAAGAAGCGACGATTTTAGCTTCATTTTTCTACCTTCCATAAATGGTGTATTGTTCATTGGATGTTGCCCCTTCAACCAAAATTTTGATTGCTTATGATGCACACAAGCGTCCATATATCCATGTACATTATTTGTATTCCGTAGCACAAAAATAAATGAATGTTTCCCGGTTTCTAGTCATAAGCGGCCTAGTTTGTTACATGCGTGTATTGTTTGCTTTCTGACCACCATAAATGGTAAAATCTATGCACGTCTACAAATCTGACTTTACAAAATTCATATAATATGACTGTCAAAAAACACAAAGATTTTATACGGGCTGATGCTTAAATAATAATACCTTCACAAAATGTCTCGCCAAAAGAAAAAAATCAATACTGTGTTATATAATCTCCAGAAATATGGCAGAAATCCATTTAACAAAAGATGTAAAAACAGGGGGAAATAGGGCAATTTTAAATGACAATCAACCAAACCAAATCAATTCCAGGAAACATTCACAGGCAGTTTGCAGATAAAAAAGACATCAAAATTTTTGAGAACTAAGTAAATTTGGAAGGCAGAAAGGCGGTTAATTTGAACGCATGAATAAATTCAGGGTGGCTAAACTAATTTCAAGCCCAGGGAAATTTCCGGCCAAACGAAGAGAACATTTCAACTCCTTTTCACAATTTAGCTAAGTGAACAAAAAACTGAAAAGGTAAATCTGCATATGTAAAAAATAGCTAATCAAGTTAACATGGTATGGAAATGTCATGCAATGTGCGGTAAACTTATGTATGAAATGGCATTAAGCAAAAATGAAAAGTTGGGGAAATATCCTAGTAAAATGATTGGTTGTAGAGAACTCAATTAACAAATCAAATTACTATCATATCTAGTTATGTAAATTTTCTCCTTTTGTTGCAAAAATTCACTAAGAATTATATTGGTTGAAAAAAAGGGAGAAAGAGCCGGTTTTGCATTACTTGGCCCACGTGCCATAAAAATTTAGGGAAAAAATAACAAGAGGCAAAAGGTGAACAACATAAGAAGTCGAACTTACTTGAGGCGATATAAAAAATCAGATATTATGAAATTATTTTGTACAACGTGACTGACTCATTTTTAACAGCACAGTCACATAAAAACTACCCGAGTGAAAAGCAAAATAAAATCGATAGCCGGCGGTGTACGAAACATTGTACCCAACGGATCAATAGACGTTTAAACTCATTCGCGCTTTCATCATTTTTAAATATTGGGGGTGCTAGCTTACCTGTGTTTAAGGTCCAGTTCGTCTAACAAAATTCCAGATTTAAATCTCACAATTCCAAGTCAAAATATAATACTTTTGTGATAACCACAAAACAACGATACGAAAAATACAAAAGAATTTATCAGGAAAAATGAAGAACTAAACGGATTTGCAGTATGATTTGTTTCTGTCCAATCTTTCAAATCAAAGGCTTACCAAATATTAAATTTCAGCTCAGTTATTTGAAGAAAATAAATCCGCTCGAATGCCATACTTTTTATTTTGTTCTGTTTTTCAATGATATCGAAACTTTTACCGCCTTATATCATAGACACAAAGTACAAACAGAGAATATTTGACTGAATTTTTTAGTTCAACTAGGAAAAAATCAAAGGTCCAAAGCACAACGTAGTATCGACAAATTGAAATGAAGTCTCGTTTGAAGCTTCGGTTGGTAGCACAAGTTGCTTTTGGTGACACAGTTTCACGCTTCAGTGACTGACTACACAGGACAAAAATGGTATGAAAAAAACTTTTTGTCGCTATGGTGCTTGATACAGTCACAGCTTAACGTACTCAAACTTTTTCCATTCTATGACCATACAGGGTCATGAGCCAAATTATGATTCAAATTTATATCGGTATAGTCATCATGAGACCAAAAGTGTGAAAAGGTGAGAGTGCCAAAATTTCAAATTCATTCCCAATTTTCGAACGTGATTCAATTGCTTTTAATAAAGCCCAATAGTGTCCTTTGGCTGTAACGTTTCGTCATCCACGCAATTATTTGACCCAAAATTTTCCAAAAGTTGCCTGAAAATTTTCGATTGATTTTTATCGCTACATTCTAAAATATGAAACTGCAAACAATGATAGCCGATTGCTGAGCAAGTAGCACAGAATGTTTCGAACACACCCATTTAGTAGAGAAATTGAAAAAAAAAGGAAATTTAGGGAAACATTTTGAAAAAAAAATCACTGCTCAGATTTTGGTAAAGAGCTATAGATTTGCGTGAAAATCTGTCAAATGAGTGATTACAATAGTTAATATAAATTTTCAAAAAAACGAAAAACTTAAGAGTATTCAATCTCTTGTCATGTCATTTTGTCTGATAAACGTAAAAACTCAGACTAGTTTTTCCCGACACTGAGGCAATTTGTTTTATGGAACCTGAAACACGACCAAAAAGCTTGAAACGCAAGCCAAGAAAAAAAATTTGCGAGAAAAAAACATTGCGTTTCTTCTGAGAGAACTTTAAGAGAGAACTGAAAGAGAACTGAGAGAACTTATGAGATAGAGAACTTTAATTTGAAATAAAGTAAGGATTGCAAAAAAGAGTGCTGAAACGGAAATTCGAAGTCACTTCTTTTGGCGCGAAAAAAATGTCATCAAATTTTGCTTCAATTAACATGGACAGTTAAAGCAAACTTACTTTGAAGTTGAAGAAAAAACAAAACAAGTAACAAAAAATAGGAAAATTAAAATATCATAATTTTTGTAATATTTTTTGATAATTTTACAGATTTCAATACGTGTCATATCAGTTTACACCACATAAGTCAATTCTTGAAGTGAATCAATATTAGTGGGTTAAAATTGGCTGAATTTTTTGCCTTTCGAAAATGATACAAGTTGGCTGGAGAAGTTGCAAAATGCGGCTGATATTGCCGGACTGAACTGGACTGTTTTTGCTGAGGTTGGAATGACTGATAGAATTAAAAGCCTTGAGATGCATTTGCATTCGACAATGGGGAATAATCACAATCAGAGCCGGCTCTTATCCCCCTACACCAGCCCAACAACCCACCGACCCAACAGAGCTGAACAGAAACAGACCCAAATAGTCCTTTAGGGATATTTTAGGCACGCGTCTGGTCTAGATCGAATTTAAAGGGCCGCAACCATCGCATTACCATACGGCTCCATTGACAATGCCCAACTAGCATAACTTATCCAATGTTATAAAACTAATTTTCCACCTTTTGCGACTATTTGTCCATTAACAATTTCTAAACTGCATTTTTTTTTACTAATAGCAGCTTCTTTCTTTATTTATGGGTTTGAAGTTGCAGACCTGTAGTTAAGTGGTGCAGGAATAAGCCGTCGTTTTGCATTTTTAGCTGAATAAACGGCTAAAACATGAATAAACTTATTTCAGTGGAACATAAAAAGAGCAGCCTACTTGAAATATCAAATGCCATGTTAACGACGCAGGCAGCATTTTTACGGTCGGTTCCCCGCTGGTTTTGAACAATGGTCAGACAAATTTTCAATTTACGACCGCAACTTACTTCTGGACTCGAATAAAAAGAAGGGCAGGTTCAAATTTTGATTTGTTGGGGAGCTATTTCTAATCAGTGGTAAAAATGCACTTTGCGAGAGATAAGGTTACATGTGAATGAAATAAGCCAGGCGTGAACGAGTTGCTTCTTCATCATTGATAAGCGCTGCTATCGCCATCTGCGAAAAGTTCAAGTAACTTACTAACTGCTAAAAGACAGAACAAAGTTCACCCCCAAGCTCGTCTAAAATTACTTTAAAAAAAACATTTTTTCGGCGAAAGGCGCGGATCTAGGATTTTCTTGAACATGGAGGAATTTTTGTCGACTTTTTCAGGCCGACCAAATTGATTTTTTGGGATCTCCCATAACACTATCAAGAAAGAAATTTCTGTGCTACAGCCAAATTTTTGAAAAAACAGGCCGTAAATTTTTAACACAGAAGCGAAGCTGCACTTCGCAAACATAAGCGAAAAAACGACAAGAAGTAGCTTTAAAAGTGGTGAAAAAGAGACAAAAATATTAAAGTTTAAAAAAACGAACTCAAAAAACAACGAACTTAGAAAAAAACAAGAATTGAGCCTCCAGTCCTCAGAAATTTGAGTTTTCTTGTTGACTGCCCTACACAATTGGACCAGTGACGTTTATAAAAACCAAAGACAAAGCGAGAAAGCGACAACGAAAAAGGGACTTAAAAATGCACAGAAATTTTGTATGTAATAATTTGGATTGTAATTAAATTAAGGCAAACAATTTAACTTTGCATGTACAAAAATGGAAAGTACTAAAACCAAAACAATGAGAACAAGACTGCTTGTATCAGGGCGAAGCCCTGAATGTTCCGACTGCCCATTAAGGTTTATGGAGCAGTAATATCATTAAAAAATTAAAAGTAATAAAACAAAATGAAATTTTTTTTCTTCAAAATTTGGAAGTTTTTTTTATAAAAATCATCACCCCAAGTCGGAACAATAAAAAAAATTCTAAAAATTTTTTTATGAAAATCACCCCCCAGATGCAATATGAAGTACAAAAAGATAGATTTCGCTCCTTGTAACAAATCAATTATGGCAATTAAGCTTCTTTCAACTAATTTGGAACGATTTTAAGACAGATTAACTCTCCGCTTACGCGTTAATAGCGCGAAATATATCGCACGTTAATTGCCCCAAATTGGCCAAAATTGCAATCTTTAAACCCCCATAACTTTACGAAAAATGATCACAGGTGAAATATCTTTTCAAATTTAAGCTCAGGATAACAATAGCTTTCGAATGATAAAAAAAATTCCGTCAAAAATGGCTTGTTAAAAAGTCGAAATTTGTCTGAAGAAAAAAACCCACCCCGAGCACAAATATTCCGTTACTTTCGTATCGAAAGTCGGAACAAAAACTAATCAATTCAAAATCGTCCGCTACCAGCTCAAAATTAGTATAATTTTGCACCAAAAGCACATTCCAAAAACTTTAGCGTTGATCAGCTCAAAAGGTTACCGTACAATAATTGTAATGAAAGAATAACACTTTGGACTGCGAGGGGTCGAATCCCTGAAGGCGGATGGTAAATCCACTAATAGTGACAAAACTACTGGCACTACTTGGAAAGTTCTAACCCGAAAAAAAAAACATATTTTTTGCGTACTTTTCTCACCTAAACCACCATGCTTGAGCAGAAAAGGGTCTCGAGGCTCAATATGAAACGTTTAGCAGAAGTGCCAATCTCTCTGAACACAAAACACTTCCTCCAATAGTTTTATTTTGACTTTCAGACAACACTCACGGTGTTTCTCTTTAATTGAATTTCGCTTCCAATTCCTGATTGCCCATCAAACCCCTTAATTGCCAAATTAAAATTTCATTGAATGAGGCAGTAAAAAACAACACTGCTCGTATCAGGGCGAAGCCCTGAATAATCTGACTACCTGTTAACGTTTTATGGAGCAGTAATAACATTAACAAATTAAATGTAATAAAATAAAATGAAATTTTTTTTTCTGAAGTTTGAAACTTTTTATGAAAATCATCCCCCCACACGCCATATAATGTACAAAAGGATAGATTTCGCTCCTTGTAACAAATCAATCATGGCAATTAAGCTTCTTTCAGCCAATTTGGAACAATTTTAAGACGGAAAAACTTGGCAATTTTTAATGACAATTTTTAAACCCCCATAACTTTACGAAAAATGATCACTGGTGAAATATCTTTTCAAATTTGAGCTCAGGACAACAACACCTTTTGAATGATATAAAAAAATTCCGTCAAACATGGCTAGTTAAAAAGTCGAAATTTGTCTGAAGAAAAAAAAACCCACCCGAGCACAAATATTCCGTTACATTCGCATCGAATGTCGGAACAAAAAGTCAAAATGGAATTACTCATGAGAGCGCAATCGATTGGCGGAGAATTAAATTAGCCAATCGGAACTACCATTCAACAGAAAAGCGAAGTGGAGAATCGCGCAACTAGCAAAACTAACCAAAGATAGCATTGAAATCTAGAAAAAAAATTGAAAGCACTAGGATATTTTTTGGCTTTATTACTTGTTATGCGGAATCACTAGAATCACTTGATCGTTTGTCCATTAACAAATTCATTTTTTAAAAGATTTTCCGACACTTTTCTTCTTGAGGTGCACACTACGCCTGGGACCTCAAAAATCTTCGATTCGAATCTAATCGTTTATCACATTAAACTTTTTCAAACGATTTATTCATAATGCAATGAACTTGATTACAGAGGAAAAGCTGCGTTTCGCGAACACAATCGAGGAAACTGCAAAAAAAAAAATCTGAACAGGCAAAACAAAACGAAACCAGGAAAAAAAACCAAAAAAAAATAAAATTACACCATGAGAAACAATTTTGAACTTCCATTTTGAGACTAGCAAGATCACATTAA